TTGCACAAATATACAGGGTGATTGATATATTTGAAATTTTTGAGAAAAACTACAATTTGCGTTTTTGATCACCCTGTATGAGCAAAACTGAAAATTTGAAAAAGTAACAAATAAGATAAGAGCTGAGGAGCGTAAGTTTTTTTGATACAAAATTTAGCACTCCAAATTTCAAAATGGCGAATCGAGGGATTGCCGAAGTGGACGGTTTTTCTGGACAAAACACCTTACATCTCAATAGCTAATTAACTAAACCCCATAGTATGTCATATCAATCTTATTCTTTTGAATTGGTTTATCCAAAAATGCAATAAAATTTGAGGCATTCTATTTGAAAAATCACAACTTTGATATGTAGATCGAAATTGGGACACCCTGTATAATGAACAATATTTTAGAAATGTGCCCTCGAATGTCATGTATAACATCCAATAAATAGATTTTCCCAAAATGTATATGTATTTGTTTATGAGTAATATTCCGTCCACACATGGATGGGCCACCATGTATATAAGTTTTAGGTTTATGGCCATTTCAAAGAAATCAATCGGTATGAAACTGAAAGTGTAACCAGGAAACTGACGAAAAACTTGAAGACAACCAAAATCAACGTTTATCTATATATTTATTTGACAAAAAAATTCCATTGATTTGTAATAGAATTTTTATTTAATATTTTTATACATTATTAAAAAACCCAAAAAAATATACATAACTAAACCTTCCTGTAGCCAACATACACATAACAATACTAAAATTACCATATTATATATTTGTTTTGGGAGTAAATATATGTATTACCAAGATTCTGTAAACTGAACCGATTAGGACGCAACTGCCTCTGCCTTCTGTGCTAGGCTGACCAAGAACACGCTAGGTGCAAAAGCCTAGGTCCTAGGTGATATCCTTTGTCTCTAAGAGGGACAATTGGTTCGGCTGTACAACAACGTCGCTCGACGAATAGGATGTCTAATATTCGCCTATTTTACATTGAACAGGATTGTGATACAAATACGTTGGGATTTTATAATATTTTTTGGACGGTATATTAATCAAATGTCTCTCAGGCAAGAAAACAAATACATCTATATTTTCTTTTAATTTATCCTGTAATAATAATAATAATAATAATAATAATAATAATAATTATTATTATTATTATTATTATTATTATTATTACTATTACCCTCATTAAACAGTATATAAAAGTTTACAAACAAAAAGCTTTAAGAAAAAAAGGGCAATGTCGTAGTAAGTAAATCACATTACACTTTTAATTAGATTTTGGACACTGCAAGTTCCTGATCATGTGACACTTTAAGTAGTAATTTCGTCAATAAATTAATTTTAAATCTAACTAACTAATTATTTTCAGTGTCCAACTAGACATATGTGTGTTGTACAAATAAATTACTTTATATCAATAGATTATAAAACTACCCATAATTTTACACACGGTCACTACCATGCCAAGCAAGCAAAAGCTTTGAGGGTGTCCAATGAAGGCGTAGGCTATCGGCAAACAATTTTAGATCGTACTCAAGCTTTGTTTTCCAGTATGTTTCAGTTTCTGAAGATTTATGGGCATAGTCATACAATTTTTGGAGGTGTAAACTTTTGCAAACATCCCAAATTTTCGCGCACTTAAAATTTCAAATAGATATTTCAATCTACGGATGCTATCATTTACGAACGTATGGCGCGAAGTAGATTGACTTTGCAGTTACCACGCAACGCTGTCAGCAGTTCATAGGGAATTACGATCGGCACAAGTTAGTTCCTCTGAGCTAGCTACGAACATGTATAATAAAAAAATCAAATGAATCAATACAATCAATCCATACTTCATACACCCCACACAATTAATATCGCTAATGCTAGTTTCTTCCGTGCCTTAAGTTTCGACCAGCTGCCATCGTCCCCACCTACCGCGTGTCGTGTCGGTAAATATTTTTCTGGACAAAGGTACCGAGAAATCTTATGATGTGTGAAATATACAATAGGTGAGACATACACTCCCATACCCCCTATTAACTCCAACAAAAATATTTCTGAAAATGATGAGGAGCCTCTGAACCTCAAAAACCGAAGAGCGATTTCTATTTCTTTCGACCTTTGCCCTTCTTGCCGCCACCACTGATACTGGATTGATTTTCAAAAACTACAGAGCTATTTCGTTCTTTGTATAATACCTATCTCGTGTGAGGATTAGCGGACAAACAGACTGACGGAAACGAGAAACATGGTTTTTCGTGACGGACATGTCATATAACATCTCATTTTCGACAATTTTTACAATTACACCAGTTCATCGCCAGTAGGCTTAAGATGTAAAATCACGATAATTGTTTGAAAAAGAATTTAATTAATAAAGCAAATTGTCTGAAGATCACATTCTTCTGCTCTGATGTGATCCGAAGTCGTTCCCATAGACCACAAAAAGCATTTTGACAAAATCCTCAGCCAGACGCCGACCAACATTTCGCGCTGTGTCTTTTCCCAAAAAGAGCAAATGCGTATGTAAATCGGACAGGCTGGTATCAGCCAACATCCAAACTGGTACTGGTTTAATGAAATTAAATTTAATTGGCGGGACGTTCCTTCTAAGATATTGCCATCGCGGTTTCGTAAAATGTTTTTATCTTTCGACCAACATAAATGCTAATTGGCACTTTTAATGGAAGCGCATGAAATGGCAGAAAATGCACGCCAAGTCTCCAGGAATGCACGCGCACTGACGTCCTCCTTATAAACCTTCTAGAGAACTGAGAAGATAACGCTACTTATAAACGTCTCCGGATTCACATTTCGTAATTTATGTTCAAAAATCGTCTTTGCTAATAGAGAATGTCCAGCATAGGGTAAAACTTATATAAAACCAGCGCGGAACGTGTAGGTGTCGCCACTAATAATTTCCCAAGCATGCAAGTTGGCTGTCAATTTACTAATGCCATGAAACATACAACACGTGATCGAAACTAAACATGATGCTTTCGTCAGTCCGACCAAAAGACAGCCAACCATGGTCCGCTGTTTCATGCTTCTTGGCTAGTCATCAGCATGGATATTTTGTCAAAAGCAGGGAAAGATATGAATATAATTAGTTGTAGACAGGCCTTCAATAGTGGCAGTTAGGCTAGTACTATGTTCAAACTCTTGTGTTGTCGAATATGTATTTATAAATGAACATAAATAAGATAGTTCGCTACAATATATTGACATCGTTTATAAAAGCTTGTTCGAATGCACATGGAAAATCCCCTTGCTCATTTCCGCACATCGCGGAGGTCCTAGCTACAAGCAAAGAGTCACTGCCAATAAAATCTCGATTTTTAGGTACAGATACTGGCGAAGCTACCAGCTTTAACGTTCTATGCCAAGTTGCATAAACTAAAAAGCATGAAACAGCGTTGTTGTATGTGGTTGGTTATGGTCACAGCGACGGAAAAGCAAACAGATCCTATTCAGTCTGTATCATAGAAAATAGTTATTTCTTGTCCATAGTATTACTGGATCTATTGGACACTATCAAGGATTGTGTTCAATGCAGTATCATGGATGTTCTTGTGATTTCACAACCGTTTTAGTAACTGCTGTCACAATCAATACCGTTCTGATATAATACCTTTTGATCTCGGATCTCGGAACCATGTAGAACACAAAAAGTAATCCAACAAGTTCACAGAAAAATTATCTACAGGGATCTCGCACGAGGATAAGGCGCACTCAATATCGGTTTTTGCAAATGAGTAACTTTTGAAACAACTCATTTTCATCGCCTAGATCGAACAAATCCTAACGAAGTATTGGTGGACAAAATGCTCTATTTTTCAAACGGCTCATTTTGTCGAATTTAAGCAAGAAGCAGACAGACTTTTTGTACTTTAATTCCCACGCCTCCGTCGGTCTGCCTGTCTGTCGGTCTGTTTGCTAATCTTTGGACCGTCTATAACTTGGAAAGTACTGCTCGGATTCGGATGAAATTTTTACACACGGTTACTACCAACGACGAAACTTTATAGTTTTTGGCTGCGGAGCTAGGGCCAAATTAAAAAAAAATCGCTCTAACTTTATTTTTGAACATTTCAGAGGCTCCTAATCCTTTATAAGAAAATTTTTTATCGGGGTTGAAAATTAGGAAATGGGAGCTATAGTGAATTTATTACATATTTCACACATGAAAGATTTCCTCATACCTTTGCCCTCATAACATCGTATCGTCAGTCGTTCATAAAATTGTAGGACGCTTTTATGGCCTCCTTGATTTTCATAGTCTTTTCTCTCCTTGAGAAAGGCTGGGGTATTTTTATATTTCTACTGTTCCGTGTCAGCGCTCTCTTAATTATAATTTCTCTTTGAACTGTAGAAAATATCTCACAAAGCAGATAATGAAAATCAAGAGCATGAATAATTTGAGGCAAAAAGGTATTTGTTACATAACCTCAAAATATAGCTCCTTTCTCAAGGCCAAGAAAAACTATGAAAATGAAGGATTCCATAAAAGCGTCCCACAATTGTCGGAACGACTGACGATACGGCCCTTAGAGAAATATCTGTAGACAAGGCGCGGTCGGTCTGGACGATGCGGTTCAATGGCGACTTTCATACGCCGAACCCTGCATTGCATCTAACAGCTTCGCCAGCAGGTATGTTACAGTATCGTGGCTGGCGCTTATGACGTGTTTGACTGATGTGGTCCAGCAGCGTTGCCAGATGTTCGATACGAGCAGGAAAGAAACTAGCGTTAGCTACTACTACTACTACTTCTATACTAACTGTATATGGACCGTTTGGCTGAATTGGCCCATTTAATATGTTTTACATGTTCTTAGCTAGTTCAAAGGGACTACCTTGGGCCGAACATAATCCTTTATGAACTGGTGATCGCGTTGTGTGTGAAGTACAGAGTCTCACTCACTTCACGCCATTTGTTTAAAACATGCTTATTTTTCAAAGTAAAGTACATATACCATGTGTGGCTACATTTCGTCTGCGATACTTACAGCCCGATCGAAGGTATCCATTTCAAGCTGTCAACCTCTTAAAAGGCGACTTCCTCGTAAGGGCATGTTTCGAATTAGTAGCTAATTCGGTGCAATGCTGAGATGTCAACCCGGGGTGGAACGGGGTAGAGCGGGGGTGTAGCGATGATAGTCTGCGGTGGCGACTGGCGGGTGGCAAGCGCCACTTAAAATATCACTGTAAATGTTACGGATCTGTATCCGTATCCTGTTGCTTGCATCGACACGCCAGATGGCATCTGGTTGCAATTTCCGAATAACTCCTGCACATAGTCGCGAACACTCTGTCGAAGGAAAGAAGGCGATACATTTTTGTTTTACAATTTCTTTAAAATCCCTAGGAAGAAATATGAAAACAATTTTTTTAATATCCTACGGAGAAAAATATGAATACGAAAATTCTAGGTGTTCTTAGTGGTTAGTGAGATATAAGAAAAGTTTGATTTCAAAATTATGGAACGCGTTCGAGTATTCTAGCGTATTCTATTATCTTCAATCTCTTTCTTTGCTGAGTTAGAAATAGCTATTGCACGCAGTGAATGATTGATTTTCCGCATCGTGGGCTGTCTTAAATTCAGAGTCGGTGAAAGGATTAAATTTATTATTATCTTCGTCCTGATATTTTTCCAGTAATAGTTTTGTAGGCCCAGTCAGTGAGAATATTTTCCAGCGTCGGTATTTTACGGTTTTCCTTTCTTTGATAAAATCCATAAACTCTCTGCATATATACTGTTGGTTCTGTATTGTATTTTTAGGTTTACTTTTGATCATTTGTTCTTGAATTAAAGTTGAAGAATCATTTCCGAAATATGACATTACAACGACTTTTAAAATTCGATATTTATGCATGTCAAGGCAAATGTACATTTCATCAATCGAAACTATAGATACGGACCTATAGGGAAATTTTCAATACCTACTGAGCAATTTTTACTGATAATTTCCCGTTTTCTAGATAGCATGAAATTTTCGGAAGTAATTACACAAGTGCATCAAAATTACCAATAATTTTTCATGAAACCGTGTTGTCTAAAAACTCCATTGTTAAAAGAGCCCTCCTCCTTGGGAGTCGCGCTCTTTCGCCAAAATATGGAAATAATCGAATGCTTGAATGGAAGATTATCCGGCTTATTTTGATGTACGGTAGAATATTTCCCGAGTTTGCCATATTTATGCATGTCAAGATGTCAAATGCACATTTGATCAATCGTAACTATACAGGGTGTCCCGAAAAAAATGTGCAATATTCTACCAGCGATTTCTAGAGCTTAAAATAGGAAGAAAAGTTTATATAAACATAGGTCGACAAACGTCCCCTAAGGGCGCTACGGTCTTTCAAAGGGGCTCCCCTGAAGATTGTTTTTCCTTAATATTTCCGAAACGTATTGAGATAAAGACATAAAATTTTAAATTCTAGCCTAGTTTTTTATGCTGGATTTAAAAATATTAACAATTTTAGACAGTTTTGTTTGGAAGCGTATGTAACAGGGACGGACTCAAGTTATTTTAGCCCCAAAATTTTGGTGTGATTCTATTTTGAAATTCAATTTTAGAATTTGAAAATTTAGGGTTTTCTACATAAAAAAGCTACTCTTATTGAATATCGATAAATTGTGTCAATTTTGAATAAAATCAAACTAAAAAATTTGTCACATGATAGGAAATGTACTGCGAATTTAAATAAATTGTTAATTATACATAGTTAGCCATGACTGCAAACAAAAGTTGTTTTGATTTGTTATGACTTATTTTGACGTTAAGCTGACAGTTAGCAGTGTAAAATTAGTAGATTAAAATAAAAATTTTTATTAAATCGATTTAAAATGCCAAGATTTACAGACAGAGAACTGATTGACATGCATTTTGAATACGGGTTTTGCAATAGCAGTTCATTGGCAGCCGTAAGAGAATATCAAAGAAGATTTCCCAATCGCATAGTACCTGGACGTCGAATGTTTACTGATATTCACCGGAATTTGTCAAACCATGGAAGTTTTCAGCGCATGCAGGGTTCAGGAATAATCCGCAAATAAGCATACGAAATGTTTCAGAAAATATGGATATACCTCGATCAATAGTAAGAAAAATTTATGAATACCTATTTGATAGTTATCCTAAAAGTAATAATTTTAGATAGGAAGAATGACAAGAATGCAAGGATTACATCCTTATCATTTTAAACGGGTGCAGCATTTAACGGAGGTAGATTTTTACCACGAATCGAGTTTTGCCAGTGGATATTAGCAATTGAAAACACTATTCCTAGCATATTATGGTCGAATGAGTCAATATTTACTAGGAATGGTGCTTTTAATTTCCATAACATGCATCACTGCTCAGATCAAAAGCCAAAAGTTGTTCGCCGTACAAATTTCCAACATTTTCATTGAACTTATGGGCAGGAGTAATTGGGGATCAAGGAATTGGGCCTATTGTACTTCCCAATCGTCTTAATTCAGAGGTGTATCTGAACTTTCTTCAGAATGAGCTCATGGATATAATACCATTGGATGTGCACCAGCAGTTTCAAGAAAATATGTTTTTTTAACATGCTGGCACCCCTGCACATTTTGGACGCAATGTTCGAAATTGGTTGAATGTCAATTTTCCAGACAGGTGGTTAGGCCGAGGAGGTCCTATAGCGTGGCCGCCACGTTCACCTGACCTAAATCCATTGGATTTCTATTTTTGTGGGTCATTAAAAGCCCTAGTTTACTCGACTGAAGTAAATACTCAAGAAGAGTTACTTCAAAGAATCCAACAGGCTGCAAATGAAATAAGAAGAAAAAGATTTTCCACTTTTCGGGCTTCGCAATCATTAGTTCGTCGAGCGAGACTCTGTATCCAACAAAATGGGAATTTATTTGAACACTTATTGTAAAGCTAGTTTTAAGTATATCCACAACAACAAATTTCAATTTCGTTCGTAGGAAAAATTTATTTCTTTTGTTTTTGCCTGAATGTTGCAATATAGTCAACGCCAAACAAAGTGGCGTGCACGTCATCACGATAAAAATTCCCCGACCTAATGCCTAGGTTTCTATCACAAACAATTGCTCTATTGCAGTTTCATATTAATGTGATATATAAATTGTAAAATGGTCATTACTCTCTTATTATGGTTAATAGTCATATAAACATTGTTATTAAAATATCACATAAGTTGCTTTCTGATAAATTTAGACGCATTATGCGAAATAAAATGTTTTGCAAACGCTCCAATCACTTATCGACATGTAAACGCACTAAACCGATTTCGCAGCGTTGACACATTGTCACCTTGAAACTTATTTAAACTGGGAACTGACATTTGTATTAATTTTGACACTGAATCAATTTGTGGCATTTCAAATCTTTATAAATCCTTTGGCCCCGCATACTGTAAATCAACAACTGTTTGTTTCAAAACAAAATTATTCATTTTACGAGTAGATAAAGGCAATTTTGGTATATAAAGATGCCCAAACAGTTAAATAGTCGGTGTAAGGAACTCGTGGCCTCGTTAATGCACTACTTTGAGCAAGAAAGGGACAACAACGGGCCTTTGTTGCCTTTAAATGCTGTTCAAGAGGTAGGTTACTAATAATTATATGTAATGTATATTAATAATAGTGAAATTTTATTTCATTTTTTGTAGCGTGTTGCTGCTGCTTTAAAAATTAGTTTAAGGACAGTTAGTCGTATTTCCGAGGGTGTGAAAAGTGATGCAAATTTAGAATCGCCCAAGAAAAAGCGGAGTTATATTAAACGTGTAACCAACACAGTGACATTGGATACAAGTGCCATTCGAGAAGTGATCTATAATATGTATCACAAAAATAAGATCTTATTATAATAACTTATCAGAAATTTGCATTAATTTGTTAACTAAATTATAATGTCATATTACACATGGTTTCAGAAGAACAAGTTACGATACAAACTTTATGGTCTCGATTAAGAGATAGGGCATTATTTGATGGTAGTGCCACGTCTTTAAGGCGGTTGCTTAGAGATCTTGGATTTAAGTGGCTTAAGGACAATCCGCGACGAGGGCTCATGGAACTACCAAGTATAGCTTTGAAAAGGGTGGAATTTCTAAGGCAATACAATCAAGCCAAGGTTGAGGCCTTATACCAGTTTGTCTTCCTCGATGAAACTTGGATATTTCAAAATGCGACCATAGGTCGCTCTTGGCAAAATGGAAACCAAAAAAGCGTGAAAGCTATCAAAACAGATGGTAAAAGGTATGTACTTTTACACAATTTGCACTATAAAATTTAAAACTAATATATTTTAGATACATTATATTACATGCTGGAAATGAAAATGGGTTTATTGAGGGTAGTGAAGCGATATTTTCTTCGAAAACAAAATTGAGCGATTACCATGGAGAGATGAACCAGGACAATTTTTTGAAATGGTTTCAACATCAGTTATTAGAAAAATTGGAGAGTCCATCTATGATTATACTGGATAACGCCCCTTATCACAGCATGATATTGAACAAAGTGCCCAACAATGCATGGACAAAAAAAAATATCCAAGACTGGTTGACAAATCAAAACATACCATTTTTAAACACAATGTTTAAAACAGAGCTATTGAGTATTGTTGCTCGGTACATAATGCTTCTTAATTATATATATTTTGGTCGACAGTTTATATTTCTTTTGTTTATTCCTATTCTTAAAATAACTGCTTTTTTAGAAACAAACCACCTAAAATATACGTGATTGATGAATTGGCGGAACAACATGGGCACAAAGTTCTTCGTCTGCCTCCTTACCATTGTATATTTAACCCTATTGAGTTAATTTGGGGCATAGCAAAAGGTTACTATAACAGACATATTGGTAGAGATGGTAACAGTGAAAAAGACTTTTTGGATATGTGGAACGAGGCTCTACAAACGGTTACCCCAGACATGTGGAAAAATAGTGTTCGACATACTGAGCAAGAAATTTTTAAATGGTATGAAAGAGAACGAATTTTTGATCGACCAGACATCGAACCTTTAATAATCAACTTTGAGAGTGATGAAGATTCAGATTCAGACAGCGCTGAAGAAAGAAACTCCGACTAACTTTATTGTACAGAAAAAGCTTACACCAGTAGCTTACCTAATTTTAGAATGCATTTTTCTGTATGAATTCTGTAAAATAAATACCATGCATAAAATTTGGAGGACCCCATTTGGATTTTTATTCAGTACCTTTAAGCTATCAATTAAATATGGTAGTTTCATAGTGTCATCTGATCAATAATTGTCATACTTAATGATTATGCAAGTACAGATCTATAATTTTATTATACTATTATTTTTGTTCTCATTTGAGGTTAATATTGCTTATAAACCTAGATATGTAAATAATAAATTTTATTATTTTACAAAAAGTTTGGCAACAATGTAAATTTTTCAACACACCCACCTTGATGACGTGCACGCCACTTTGTTTGGCGTTGACTATAGAAATATGTATTTATGTAATATTTACCAATTGTTAAATTAGTTTTTTCGTTGCCATGGCTAATTATTCAACAATTCATTTAAATTCGCAGTACATTTCCTATCATGCGACAAATTTTTTAGTTTGATTTTATTCAAAAATGGCACCACTTATCGATATTCAATAAGAGTACGTTTTTTATGTAGAAAACCCTAGATTTTCAAATTCTAAAATTGAATTTTAAAAATAGAATCACACAAAAATTTTGGAGCTCAAATAACCTGAGTCCGTCCCTGTTACATACGCTTAAAAACAAAACTATCTAAAATTGTTAATATTTTTAAATCCAGCATAAAAAACTAGGCTAGGATACCAAATTTTATCTCTTTATCTCAACACGTTTCGGAAATTCCAGGAAAAACCATCTTCAGGGGAGCCCCTTTAAAAGACCGTAGCGCCCTTAGGGGACGTTTTTTGACCTATGTTTATATAAACTTTTCTTCCTGTTTTAAGCTTGTTTTATGCTCTAGAAACCGCTGGTAGAATATTGCACACTTTTTTCGGGACACCCTGTATATCCGGCCCTATAGAGGAATTTTCGATACCTGCTGTAATTTTGCCATAATACCACACCTCTTATGTCATTTTTTATGTATGAGGGAAATATTCGCTGTAATTTTGCGATTTTATACATGAGAGAAATATTCATGAATAAAATCATAACGGCATCTAATTTTTCCGAAAAAAATCGAATTTTTGATGCCACCAGCATTCATGCTTCTTGTTAAAAAATATTACTTTGCATTATGTTTTATTGATTTTTTTCACAGACAAAAATTAGTTGCCCGAATGGTATTTCTGCATACACATAGCTTACAAAATTTATTTACAATAATATCAGAAAAATAATTGCTTAGCGTCGTCTACTGGTGTCCTGGGAGACCATAATTACTTGTTATCAAAGGTATTGTAATTGTAATTATTGTAAACTCGAAAAAAACTGCTGACAGGTGCTCTCATACATTTGCTCCATCTAGAAACCATTTGTAATTCAAAATTGCTCATTTGTGATTGGTAGAAATTAAGACGAGGGAAATAGTCGCTGTAATTTTGCGATAATTCCACACCTCTTATAGCATTTTTTATACACGAGGGAAATATTCTGACCTAATAAATTTTTTTTGTGATTTGGTCGTTTGACCACTGCGAATATGGAAAGTCCTTCCAAGTTATTATAATATCTATAATAATAAGTTTGGCTATGAAGCGTGGTCCATTTCACGAAATTGTTCGAATGCCTTTTAGGGATGCGAATACTTCAGAATGTTTTTAAACTGACAATCCAAACCCAAGGTATCAGAAGACATATTGTGTTTACAGCAGCAAATATAATAATAGTACATGGTACATTACTTTCAATCAATCTTTGACCATAGGGAGGGTATCAAAATTCTGGAACAATCTACGTGAGGAGGCTTTTTCCTGTTCTAGTAACCTTAAGCAGCTCAAAATTTGGATTAACAAAGTTTCTTCAAGCTCCTTATAAAAGCCGCTGTGTGATAGGATTTAGGCTTCTTCTTGGACGGTGCTTAGGTCCAATAGAATATAAAAGCATGGGACTATAACACTATGTTTGTCTCTTTATTCGTATAAAATTGTTGTTAAAGAAAACAGAACTCCAAACCAACTGATTTGTAGTTATTACGTAATTTTCTTAAAAACTACAGATGCACTGTTGCCAAATATAACTATATCTTTCCTAAGTTTCCACCAATCGGAATGGTTATAGATTTAAGAGAGGCGGTGCAATTGGGCATAAGATTATCAAAATGGTGACTGAATTATATCGAATTAGTACAAATGATTTTTTCTCAATTTACTAACGCTGCTCTTTTGTCACCGATGGATTGGGTTAAGGACTCGAGGGCGAACGCATCCATTTCTGTCCCATCGTAAATAATCTTGGACAGTGAGACTGTCGCCTTGACAGCTAGTTTTATGTGGACCTGTTCCGATCGGAATGTCCAGATAACACTCTATCTCCGCAGCCGATCCATTGTTTCACGTTCATTATAAATTTAAAAAAGACCCGCTTGTCCGCCGCGCTGGTCCAACCGTACACGTTTCATCGATCCCGATAGGTAGCTTCGTCCTCGTAGTCGTATTCAAATCATTCGTCTTTTGTTTTAAATATATTTACATCCATATATAGGGTGATCAAGAAACAATGGCAACATTTTTAATATAAAAAGTAGCTACCATCAAGATTGTACCTAGAGAGGTTGCATCTTTTGACTATCCAAAACGGCGGGCGTCAGCGGGCGGAGCCCAGATGACACATTTGTATCATATCGACGCAGGCCTGGCTCACACTCTGTATACATTAGTCTCACAAAGTTATAACAATTTGCCCTCCTACTTTGGATTTTGCTATATGATTTGGAACGGATTTCTTACAGTAGAAGACCTACTTTAGTAGATTTTATTGTGGATTTGGATACAGGGTGGTCAAAAAGGGAATGATAATATATTTTTAGAAAACCCAAAAAGTTATTTATCCGAATGGAAGTCGCCTTTTCTCTAATGTCATGTTAATTTTGTAGAAGGTGGCTTACTTTGCAAATTATAATTAGTAGTTTCCAAAATATATGGAAATATTGGATTTCTCTTGCTTAAACACCACCAAGAATATCATGCTGTTACCGGGAATTAGACAAACTTAAACAAAATTAGTCTTATTTTCAGTTATATTTAAAAAAGAGATTGTTTCCACTTGAAAAAATCACTTTTTGGACCGTTGTTTGAAGTTCACCTGAGGACGATTGAAGATACCACATCAATCGTATAGACAATGAAAGTTCGAAATAAAACTTTTGATGACTTTTGAATTGTCTTAAATCTATTTTTCTCTTCCTTTTTGACCACATTTTTATTTTTTACACAGTAAAATCTACTAAAGCAGGTCCCCTAGTGTAAGACATCCGTTGCTAATCATATGGCAAAGGCATTTGTAAACTTTTGCGCAAAATTTAAGAAACAGTTGGACTTTGGTGTAGGGTGATATCAATGAAATGAATTTATAATCTCGCGTCAAATCCGAAAAGTGGATAAAATACAGGGTGCTCTATTTAAAATAAGCAAGTTGGTATCTACTTCCGGTATGACCTGAGGAGCCACCATTTTGAATGATTTTCAAAATTTCCTTAATTGTCTTACACTTTAGTAATTGATCTCTGCAGTTCTACGTGGGACACCCTGTATAACAGCCCCCTGACTAGGGTTTTAGTGGTGACGGATACCCAAATTTTGGCTGCCATATATTTATTATAATAGGTTTGTTTGTCTAGGTGTCCCGGTGAGGGATGGCTTTGTGAGTCGAGGCACCTACACCAAATCCACCATAATTGTTTATACAAAAACAGACCCTAAAGTCGAAATTTGAATCTGTATACCGACGAAAAAATAAAGTGTAGCTAAGCCTTATCTGGACAGGAAATATGGACTGTTGTGGAGTCCTGCCAATTCCAGCAAAAACGTGACATCAAATTCGTGATCTTTGCACTTAACTGCCCAAGAAACGAGTTTTCATGGAAACTGCAAACAGCCAAATACTTTTGAAAATGCCATTTCGACTTCAGCTTCCCAGCACAAAGTTTCATTGTTTGTTTCCTGTTGTTGCATTCTGTTATATTTGGACATTCTAAATGCTACAGAGTTTTGAGCCTTCCCTCGACCTCGGGTAAAAAAGTGGCATCAGAACCATGATCTACACACCCGATTTGTAATTTGATGTCTCTACTAGTTGTCTCCAGCTCAGCCGATTGGCTCTATGAATGCCTACATGTAAAGTGCTGATGTCCGCAATGTTGTGAATCAGATTTATACAGCAGGGAAATAGACCATTAGTGTGTAACAGTGGCAATTTTGTAGCTAAAACACTCGTGTTAATATTGTGGGATGAAAAAGAGAACACCGACGGATATCTTACGACCAAAAGGATTACACAAAACTCTTGATAGAATGAGCTCAATGATTGGTCAATATAAATCAGACAACCTTTATTATAGAGTCAACTGAACTTCATAATTTTTGTTTTGAAGTTGAAATAATCAACTCTTTATCGAGAAAGATTACATTCTTAAAATAGATGACAATCCTTTGTAATGTCTAAAAATAGTTTTAACAGAAGATGTTTCTAATTTTATGTCGCGCCAGCGCTTGAAACAAATTGCTGGTAATATCTGGTTACATGTTAACTGAAATTGTTCTATTTGTTACAGGTCTTGAAATATTGCGACCACCTACACGGAAAATGGTACTTCTCCGAGGTGCGGGCGATATTTTCCAGGCGGTATTTGTTACAGAATAATGCTATCGAGATATTTCTGGCAAGCAGAAGTGAGTATACATTTGTTATCTATCAAAAGTAGAAATTCTTATAATGTTATGGGTGTAAACGTTATAATAGTCATTATTTAAATGGGTGATGAGGGGATCAAAAGAAGCAAAAAGGTTCATATAACATGGGGGTCCAAACGGCATTTTTTTAGAGAAAAGCGACTTTAAGGTAAAATAAAATCTCACAACGCCGCAATGCCAGACGCAGATTACGACGGAACGCAGTGTAAATAAACATGGAGTTTGTTATTTTTGGCTGTTGGGTATTAAGGTACCCGGGGGTAATAAGGCCCACCTAAGAAATTATAATTAATATCTACGTGAGAAATTTACTTTTTCAAACTTTTATTATTATAAAAAATAGAAAAGGGTATAAAACTAACATAATGGTAATGTTTGAACACAAAATAATCATGCTTATATGCCGAGACGCGAACATTAAAAAAATGTCTTCTGGGCCTTAAAGCCTGCAAGTGCATATAATAAGGCCCATATTTAAATGAACAAAAAACAAGTCAAACGAATAAACAAAACACAAAAAAAATCAAAAAATAAAAAGAAAATATTAAAATAATGATATCCAAACATAAATATCAAAAATATCCCTTTGGGCCTTAATATCTGCAACGACATATAATGAGATTTGAATGAGAGATAAAAAAAATAACATTTCAACAAAATACTGATAGAGTAAAAAATAAATGTAACACACTAAAAAAACAGTATCAAAGATAAAATATGGTATTAAGTCTATCTAATACTTAAGGCATACAGTCTGGACACAAAAAAATTTCAGTACCGTCCGCAGTCAAACCAGCACAATCCTCATGGACCCAAAAACCACAAGAAGCACATCGTCTCATATCTGCTACATAGTCTTCGTAGCAAATCACATAGTGCCATTCTTCGTTATGTTCTCTTGTTTTTGATGCAATGGAAGACACAGATTCAGATGGCGATTTAGCGGTATTCGATAAGACTAGAACGGGATCAAGTTGGGACTCCACCTCCTTTAAAAATACGGATCGCTTGACTTCAACTGCTTTGTAATTTATAGCTTTACGTCTTGGAGCAGATTTTTTTTGACTAGATCTGGTGTTGGTAACACTTCCGCGAAGGAATTATTCAAAGGGATTAATTTTTTACGCAATTCACCTAAAGGCAGGTAGTCATGTGAATCATATTCCGAATCATCGGCAGCGGCGGTCGTCTCCTGGTAAGGTTTCTCAGTTGCAAGACTTGGGGCAAATGCTTCAATAGGAAGAACATCCTTATCATAAGGGCATATTCCCGTAGCTCGAAAGCCGCTTGTAATATTTCCAATGGACATTGCTTTCTGCCATGTAGGTGTGAAAACTTCAGAAAATCTTTCCCTGTTTAAATCACGTGTAGGATGTTTATCCCAGTACTTTAACAATTCATCGTCCCAATAAGCTTCAAATGCTCGAAATATAGCTTTGTCCATCGGCTGAAGCTCATGGGTGGTGTTACTCGGCAGACAATATAAGTGAATCTCATGAGCTTCTGGTTTCTCAGCAATGCTAATATCCAAATGGCATTTGGCCCCATCAAAAATTAAAATTACTGGCGGAGGCGACATGTATTCAATGAAATGGTCTAACCACTTATCAAACGTTTCTATCGTCATGCTCTCTTTAGACGTCATCATAACTTTTGAGCCAGCCGGTAAGCCATCTGAGTAGGTTGGCCTCATTCTCTTGCCCTTAAAAAGAATGACAGGCGGTATGGCATGTCCGAGAGCATTAGCGCAAGCGACGATAGTTGCGTTTTCGGCGTGTTCATGAGAAATTACATGCACTCGTTTTGCTCCTTTGGCTGCCAGAACGTTTTGTTGGTGGTGAAGAGTCAAGCGGCAACCCTTCTCGTCCATATTATAAATTTTTGCTTCTTAATTTTTTAACTGAGTGCGCTCCAACAAATCTCCTAGTTTTTTGCAACGATCTTCTACGATAAAACGATTTAATTTTTGGGGGCTCTTGCTGGATTCATGAATTGAGATCGACGTTTTGATATTCTCGGATGATTTTTCAGAAAAGTCCTTACCCACTCCCTACCAGCGAGACGAGTTTCCTGATTGAAACAATTTTCTTTTGCTCAACATACCTGAACACAGACCTTCTTAATGCTTTTGGTGTTAGCGGAAAACCTTTATCGGCTAGCCGAATTATTTTATTCTCAAGGTCAGTCTCTTCATTATTGGTCAAAATTGTTTGTCTACCTAGTTTTCTCTTCACGCTTTGTGATTTAATGTGGTTCCTAAGTGTTCGTCTGGGTATTCCGCATTTTTGTTCCACCCAGCGCTGAGATTTTCCCTCGTTAATATAATTTAATGCCTCTCTCATCATCTCTTCATCCCAATTTGTCCTTATCCCTCTGCTTTTTTTACCCATCTTCTGTAAAAGAATAAATAAATCTAATGAATACGTGTATTCATGGCGGCAGAAAATAAAGCCCAAGCCTTTTTCAATGCATTGTAGAAAAGAAGGCCCGGGCCTTATAACCTGTAGCACAATAAAATTAATTTTGAGGTTATTAAACAACAAACAAACCCAACATAAAAAGAAACGCTACGTAAAATGAAACAATCAGATACATAGATTATCATGCATACATAATGAAAAATCTACGTATTATTAAAACAATTTAATTTGCTTACTTACCGGTCGAAATTCTTATAAAATACAGCACAGCGAAACGTGACACCATAGAACAAGCCAGGAAGCTCATAGCCATAGAACAAAATTACATTTCCGGCAACAGTAATACTAAATATTATTAACAGATGGCGATATAAATATTTTAGGCGCTTTCCTTTGGGCAAACCAGCGTTGGGCCTTAATATCTGGTGGGCCTTATTACCCCCGGGTACCTTATTTCATTATTTGATAATGTACTCGTAAAATGCAAACAATTAAAAAAAACTGTCTCAGCGCTTCACCTAGTGTGTGATGTGAAAGTTTATTGAACGTATTAAAAAAATCCACTTATAAATGGGGAACACAATTTTGATACATACATTGTTTTTCTTTTTAAAACACACACTGCACATTTTTGTATTCAAAGAAGGTGTTCAAAATGTCGTCCTCCACTTTCCACACAAGCTTTATTACGACGAACCCAGTTTCTTCTTACTCTTGGTCCTCGAAGTTGTCCATTTATTATTTCAGCCGCACTAAATCTTTTTCGCGAAGTTGTGCTTCAGTTGTTATTGGACCAGCCACATAAGCCATCCCTTTAAGTTCCCCCCAATACCAGAAATCTATCGGATTTAGCTCAGGAGATCTTGCTGGCCATTTTCAAGGATCAGGAGCATTTCGACCGATCCAGCGATTTGGATAATGTTCATTCACATACTGAATGACGCCTCTAAAAATGTGTGGTGGTGCCCCGTCATGAAGAAACCACAAATTATCTCTCCGTTATAATGGCATTTTGTCTAAGGTCTGTTCCAGAAGTTCGGTAGTTTATTGACTAGAAAGCTAAGGTATCCTTCTCCTGACAACTTTGGCGGTAACTCGAAAGGGCCAATTACCTGATCGTCAAGAATAACCGCCCAAATATTTATTTTAAAACTTTGTTGGAAATTACCTTCACGAATGGTATGAGGATTTTCTTGGGCCCACGTGTGAGTATTATGGAAATTTAATATGCCGTCTCGCGTAAAAGTACATTCGTCCGTCCCTAGAACGTTTTTAAAAAAATCCTGATTTTCAATGTTTTTGTGCAAAAACCACTGACATAATGTTAGTCTGCGAGGATAGTCTTATGGTAACAAGGTCTGCACTCGTTGTACATGGTAGGGATAAAGCAAATTTTCCCGTAGGATTCTATGGACTATGCTATGCGATAGTCCTACGCGGCGGCCTAATTCCCGACTGCTGATGTCTGCATTGATTTCCACGATATTTAAAATCTGCTCCTCCTGCTCTACAGTAACATGTCTTTCGCGAGTGCGAATATTAGTGGGCTGAACACTTCCTGTATCTTGAAGTCTTTGGTACACTTGCACAAATGTCCTTCTGTCCGGGTATACCCGTTGGCGAAATCTGTCGCGATAAATTTGAGCTGCAAGATTTGAATTCTGACGAGCTTCAGGGTAAACTAACAACATGGGGGCTAACTCTTGATTCGAGAACATTGTAAAAATAAACACGACGACGTACGCGAACAAAAACAAAACAACACACTAACCACTGTTACCGTTTGCGATCGCTTGCCGGTTCGATAAGAGTGATGAAAAACCGACGCGCTGATGTCATGTTTATTTCAAATATTTAATTTAATGAATGATGATTATAAAAATTAGTAAGATTGTGGTGATTGTGATCGATATAAAGCACTTAAAGTTGTAAAATATAAAGCCATTTAGACAATAATCTATTGACTTTTGAACCATGGGTCATATGAACTTTTTGACTTGTTTTGACCCCCCTATAACCCATTTCAATAATGACTACCATAACGTTTACACCCTGTATTATTTCTGATGAACCCTAAGGGATGTCTCACAAATACCAAATTACATTTTACTTTGTATGTCACTGATCATTTTCAGGAACTTTTTAGTAGAGGTTAAAAATTGAAGGTTGGAGGTTGTAGGGGTAATGGAAGGTATATCTCAATTTACTTTTTGATGTTACGCTCCTAACCTCGATACTTCTACGCACCTATTAGACATATTTCATAGGTTTTCCGGTATGTTCGTCCTTAAAACTTCAATGATATACGTGTGCCGGACAACCCAACGAGCATACGTCTGTCTGCTAAGAATGCTGAGGGAGGAGGGATAACAGCGATGATGCGTGTATCCGTGTATGCAACGCCGTGCTGGGTTTGCGAGTGCCGCTGAGAACATAGTTGCCACGTTCCTGAGTGGTCGGGATTGTTGTCAAATCTGTGGGCGGTATGGGCTAATTGCAAGAGTCTGTTTGAATGACACGATCCGTTTAATTTCTTTGTTATATATGTACATGTGTTTTTTTCTAAAAGTTACTAACTTGTGCCGAATAAAATGATTTATGAAGTGATATCAGCGTTGTGTTTTGAAGCTGAAATCTCTCTCTGCTTATATCGTTATCCAAGAATAATACAGTTCCTTCGTTGAAGTAGAGCTCACTCAACAGCTCTGTATTGCGCTCTGGAAGAATCAACCGATGGGATTTGATTTTTATTCCAGCAGCAGCGGTGGCCGCAGTAATAGACTCTTCGGTCTCCTGATCAGTCGCCGTGCGCTGTGCGGGTTCGAGTCCCGTCCCGGGAAAAAATTTTCTCTTGGCTATGGATGTTGTGATTGTCCGTAGGTGGTAGACGGTCTCTGACTGTCGAACGTGGAGGTACCACCCGGCGGATCTCGTGGCGACATTGTGAGGATAGGCCATGGAAAAACTTGTTACCTCACGCTAAACATTATTACTTAGTAGCGTCAGCGCAAATTTCAAGTTTGAAGTTTGGGAAACACGTTTATTGTTATTTATTATCATTCATGGGAAAAGATGAAAACACCCAAAATATACTTATATTCCGACTGAATCAATATTTTGAAAACTACCACATTAGGCATTCGAAGGGAATCAACCCATTTTACTTTCCACGCCGTTGGCGAGGAAGTGTTGTAATCGTGATGAAGATATTATCTACTCAGTGACATGAGAAGTGTTACATCCAGTGGCGTAGCAAGGGGGGTGGCGGTGGCGGGCCGCACCAAGTATGACCTTTTTTAGAGTGTCAACAACCCGGTGAATCAACTTTTTCAGACTTGCACTCCAGACAAGATCGAAGTCTCTTCATTGTTTGTGATCTTACAAACAAATACTTTGCTTTTGGCGAATACTGAAAAACTAAAAGTAGTTTTAAATTTACTGATTTTTATGATGAGGACTCAAAAACAGAATTACTTTTGGAGATACCAAGACTGCGAAGACACTTAAAAGCTGCTAATGTTACATTTTCTGATTGGGTATCTCTAGATATTTTAAAGGTTATTATAGAATGGGATTTTACAGAATCTTATGATTGCACTAAAATTGTTCATGACGGTTTGCGTGTCCGTAGCTTCATGTGAAAGGCTACAATGGCCCAATCGCGGCTTATATTAGCCATCGAACGTCGGTGGTCAACCTACTTGGCGCCATTTTTCGAACGAGACTCAAAACTTAAATTAAAAACATTTCCAAGTACAAAAATTAAAGCACTATTCTTCTGATAGTATAAAGTGTCAAAGCTTTATCTTCCATCATTTTTATTTTTGATTATTACGTGTACTTTCAATTTTCACACTTCCCAGATATTTCAAGAAATGCATTTTCTTCTAGCTTCCATCATGTTCAGCTTTCCGGATCAAAACACCGTGAAAAAAGTGATCAAAGCTCTACCTCGTGTTGGTGTGGGTATTAAATATGGTATTCCTCAAACACGTAGAGCAAGCATGATGTCTCCCAGACAGCTCATGCGTAATTCTAATATGACGCAAAAATGGCAGCGAAGAGAAATTTCCAATTTTGAGTATCTAATGTTCCTCAACACTATTGCAGGTAATGTATTCTTTATTACATTTTGGAAAAGCGTTTCAAGAAAGTTTATGTTTTTATGTAGATTTTATATGGTTATTTGTTGAGCGATTATATAATCCTTGAATAGTGACAACCATCTCCACGAACTTGATAAATCTAATATTGAATTTTTATCTATAAACATTTCTGAAACTTCGTTATGTTAACTTTGTTAATATTCTGCGTCTGGGTTCAAAAACGTAAATAAATGTCGTTCTTTTTATTGATTGATTTTATTGGAGCTTAGTGCAAGTTACGAAGCTTTCACAAATGATTGTAGCTTCTCAAGATTTGTTGTTTCATATTCGACTATACTTGATCTTCAATATACGAGTATCTATTCTCAGTATCTCAATTTATTTAATGTTTCTTCTAGGACGAACTTATAACGACCTGAACCAGTACCCGGTATTCCCATGGGTGCTAACGAACTATGAGTGCAAAGACTTAGATTTGAGTTTGCCAAGCAACTACAGAGACTTATCCAAGCCCATTGGTGCTCTAAATCCAAGTAGGAGAGCGTACTTTGAGGAACGGTATTCGACGTGGGAACATGACAGCATTCCTCCTTTCCATTATGGAACGCATTATTCTACGGCTGCTTTTGTATATAATTGGCTCATTAGAGTAGTAAGCATTTTTTCATTTTTTCGTATCTTTGTCTGATCCAGAGAGGCCCGATTTTAGTTGAATTTGAAATTCTAAAGCAGCTTGTCTATTTTATATAAATACAGGGTGTCCTATAAGTGGTGACTTTCCTTTCCTGGAATGTATTCGTTTGAAATAAGTTAATTTGCGGCAAAATATCTCCGAAAACGTGAAAACGAAATAGAAAAGTAACACTATTCATTTGTATGGCATTTCAAGTACTGCTCTGTCACATTTTGTTTGTAATTACTGCTTGGACTTGTCGCTGTCCAAAACACGAGTGCGTTTACTTCTTCCTAAATTTGCATCATTTGGGGCGGTCTAGTACTTCTACTGTGTCCACTCAGACGGCTTTTGCACGATATAAACAAACCTACGCATCCCGGATGGAAATATCGAGGACTGCGGCGATGTTCTGACTATTTGAATACACTCGCGGAGGATCTTAAAGACGCTGACAGTAAACTAACATCAAAACGATAACTGTAATTGTTGCAGGAATGTGCCAATAACGGTTTTCAAATGCGGTTTGCTTATAAACTAGGTTAACCTACACACCGCGTGGCGCCCAATTTGGATGCTGACTCGCATAGTAATAGTCCCACAAAACATCATATCCTTTGACGTAGGAGAGAAGGGAGGGAGGGTCGGAATGGCTTATTTGGAGTTATCTTAAGGCTTTAGTATAATGTGTTATTAGGAAAACTTGCTTATTATTACCTGACCTATTCGCTCTGTAAAGGAAAGTCTCAACTTTGAAGACATAATTAAAATATAGCTATCTGTGTATTAAAACCACAAAGCACTATCTTGTCGCTCAAGCAGTACATATGTTTGACACAAATATTGTCTCAGTCAGCCTCATTCATCAATACGAGGGATGTCTTTTAAGTTTTGCATATGGAAATAAAACAACACGGTAGGTAGTTTTATATGACTTCATTGTCTTTCGAAGTATTCTCCACGACGATTAATACACATCTGCATGCGCTCGAACCAATTTTCGAAGCACTTGTTCCACTCGTTTGCTGGCAGATCCAAAACGGCATTTTTGAATGCTTCTTCTGGTTACTGTAACCTTTGACCACGCAGTCTGTTTTTAATTTTCGGGAAAGTAAAGAAATCGTTAGGACTTAGATCGGGACTATATGGAGGATGGTCCAATAATTCCACGTTTTCTTCGCCTTGTTTTTTGGGCTGTGTGCGAGCTTGCACTGTCTTGGTGGAGGATGATTCTTCTTTCGGGGTTGAACAAATGGTGGTATACCAATCCGCAGTAACAGTTCTTTGCTCATTAAGAGGAATTGTTGCAACAGGACCCGCGCTTGACACAAATGTCGCGACCACCTTTTTCGAAACACTTCGAGACCGGATGACTTTTGTTGGCTATTCTTCACCTTGGAACACCCAAACAGCCGACTGTCGTTTATTTTCTGGTTCATAACAGTAAATCCACGATTCATCATCAATGCTGTACACATTTTTTGAGTTTCTGGAATTGAAACGGTCAAGCGTTTTTTGACACCAATTAACCCTGGCTGCTTTCTGCTCTTCATTTCTTACCTCCTAATTCTTCATGTAAAATTTTTTTACATCTTTGACGTCTTTGAGATCTTCAAGGGCGCCTCAACCTCGCGATATGTCACATGTCTATCTTCAATGATGAGTTTGCGCTCAGCATCGACGTTTTCCTAGGTGTCTGCTGTTTTTTATTGCACCCACCCTGGGATAGTCGCTAAGACTCACCCGTCCACGTTTGAATTCTCCATACCAACGGGAAATTGTCGACTGATGTGGCGCTTCGTTGCCGAAAACAGACAGTAACTCAGCAAGGCATTCTTGTTGCGATAATTGTCTCTGAAAGTTGTAATAAGATTATGGCGCGAAAATGTTCTCGGTTGAGTTCCATTTTTCTAATGACTTGGTGACACTTAAAAATTCACTGTAGTGAGAACACTGCACGTATCGTTGTGAAAATTTGAATTTAAGTTTACTAAAGAGTAAGGTTAAGATTCAGTACTGACGTTCGATCCGCGCGGCCTACTTTGTTTCTATATGCAAAACTTATATATAGTGTCAAACTCACATTGCAAAGGTGTTGCGCTATCTGTTTCTAAGGTATCTTTACGGAAAAGCTGCATGACACGATATAAAATTTGTTATTCGAAGGGGAAATAATGTTAGATATTGTCGCAGCTCTATTGAAAAACACATGTTTATTAACTTCTTCAAGCATGCCTTCTACTTTGTCCTCGAAATTCACAAACATCCTTGGTACAAGATAAACAAATCTACGCGTCGCGGGGTGGAAACATCCAAGAAAACGATCTGTATATAATTACGAAGCATCAGCAGTATGTTGAAGACACTCTCCATAAACTGACTTCAAATCGAAAAGTTCGTTATTGCTAGAGTAGTAGTAGTAGTAGACATTTATTTACTCCATTATATAAGAACAATAACAACATATAATGGGTGAATGAATGTTTCAACCCATAGAAGGACAATTCCTGTACATGGATCAGTCGTATGTTGGAATGTATTTTAAAATCAAAACAAAAAAGTTAAAAGAAACTTAAAAAAACTTATATCAAAGAGGTGTGCATGTAGAGGATGATAATTTTTAAGGAATATTGTTGTCTTCCTATTGCGCGTATCCATTCTGATAATTTATTTTTAAAATTATGTATGTTTCGAAATTGTTTTAAGTCTTTGGGCATGTGTTCATATAATTTTCCAGCAAAATAGAGAAAATAACGCTTCATTATTGTTTCATGCGACTTAGGAGCAGTTTTTGATCGTGATTTATGTAGTGTATCATGGCAATGTGTGATCTTATCGCGCTCACTGACAACTTCGTGATAATGACTGACAGTATGTAAAAAATAAAGTTGCTTGAGATGAAATAATTTTGTTTCGTTATATAAATCATTTGTTGAATATAATTTTGGTTTTCCGAACATAATTTTTAAAACAGTTCTCTGTAAAACTTCTATGTCGTTTAAGTAGACTGGACCTGCTGTCCCCTATACTAATATTCCATACCTTAGGTGCGGCTCAATTTTAAGGCATGATATACAGTACGCAAATAATTTTCTCTCAAAAGGCCTGTGGGTTATTTAATTTTGTATGTAACAAATCTTATTCTCTTTAAAATATAGGTTGGATGAATGTTTCACCTTTTAAGTTGGCCTAAAAAATTCCTAAATATTTGATATTGTTCACTCTGTCAATTTTTAAATTTGTATTATCATTGAATAATCGGGTTGATGACTTGCGTCTGATGGTATATTGTGTGAAGGGTAGAAAATGCGTTTTTTCAAAGTTCATCATAGCAGTCTTGCTCTTTATATAGTACTGCGTATCATCAGCAAAACTAATTACTTTATCTACACAGTTGAATATATCATTCAAATAGATATTAAATAAAAAAGGCTTAAACTGTACAATGAGGTACACCACATTTGACAAACATTTCCTTACTGTCTGATTTTGACAGTTTCACTACTTGGGGCCTTTTTTATAAAAAACTTTGCATCAAATAAAACCTAATTTGTCTAAAATATTAAACAGTAAAGTGCGATTAACTGTTTCGAATGCCTTTTTCGTAATATATCATTTTCGATTTTTCCAAAAATCCGATTTATAGCCAGCAGCATTTACAGCTTGTTTACCTGCACAGCGCGCAAGGCCTGAGGTGGATACTGATACACGTCGTATGTTTTGAACTAATCCGTTGGTGGAAGTAGGGCCCCATTTGATATCATACATTTTTCGGAGCCTAATACCGTGCTTATCTTTTATTTTTTTACCAGAACTATAGAAAATGTAAAAGGCACATTAGGAACATGCCTTTTAGGGAGTAACGTTTAACTTTTTATGCCCTAGACGCTAAACAACAACAAAATGTTGTTTTTCATTGTTTGTTTCGATTTTTCGCCGAAAGTTCAGTTTCATTTTTTGCCGTAGCAATGCTATTAGGTCTATCTACGTATATAGATTTTTAACGTGCATTTTTGCTACTTTTCGGTCCACTACTGGTATCAAGTAAACCATTTTTTATGAGTATTCATTATGTTTTGACGTCTACTAAAGATATGCAACTGAAGTGACATATTTGTATTAAAGTATGTAGTATTGGTAGTAATGAATAAGGTGTGAATGAGGTAAAAGAATAAAATATACCAAGTACACGAAGAAAAATGTTCATTAAAAAATTATTATAGTACATCTGGATTTAGGTTGTTAGGAATATGAATCCGTAGCGTATAAAAAAGACAACAAAATACGACTCTGTCAACCTTATTGCGGTGACACATCCATCCGAATTGTGTGTCATTTATCGATATGAGGAATTGACATTGAAATATTACTAAGTACTCCCCTATTATATGGTTGATGTAATGGATACGTGTGAAAAATATTTTATAATTCTGCATATATATTAATTAATCATTGTTTTTTTCAGGAACCTTTCACGACGATGTTTTTGGCGCTCCAAGGTGGAAAATTCGACTACCCCAACCGACTTTTCTCATCGGTTGCGCTATCCTGGAAGAACTCCCAAAGAGACACGTCAGACGTCAAAGAGCTCATCCCGGAATTCTACTTCCTGCCGGAAATGTTCGTGAATTCGAACAAATACAGACTGGGAGTTAACGAAGATGGCAAACCCATCGATGATGTGGAGTTGCCACCTTGGGCACAATCTCCTGAAGAATTCGTCAGGATCAACCGAATGGCACTTGAGTCAGAGTTCGTATCATGTCAGTTGCACCAATGGATAGACTTGATATTCGGTTATAAACAGAGAGGCCCCGAGGCGATTAGGGCTACCAATTGTTTTTATTACTTGACGTATGAAGGTAGTGTCGATTTAGATGCGATAAATGAAAAGGTGATCAGGGAAGCTATTGAGAATCAGATTAGGAATTTTGGACAAACACCGTCGCAGTTGCTTATGGAGCCGCATCCGCCTAGAAGCTCTGCTATGCACTTGGTAAGTTAGGCATCTGTCCAAACATCAATTCCAATTTCTGTTCTGTCAAAACCTTTCTTCAAATCTTTTTATATATTTTTCCTCATTCAAGTCACACTGTTATGATTTCATCACGGGTTTTCCGACCATTAACCTTATGTTCCCAAGCTTTCTACAGTTGTCTCTTGGACTATTTAAGACAGTCAAATGACGACAAATCGTTGACGACGAGCTTAGGTTCGTATATAGGCAGCCAGCGTTGCCCACAACTGTGAACAGGACAGCATGAATTCAGACATTCTAATTTTATATTTGAACGTTACTTAACCATGGACGTATCATTGACATTTCGGAGGGAACAAATCACAAGCTGTTTAGTAATATCTAACATTTACATTTACATTATGAAAGGCTAGTGACTTGCAGATGAAGTTGTAGTCACATTCTCATATACGAGGTTCGTCCGGAAAATACGTAAAATTCGGGGCGTCGTGTCAAGGCGTTGTGGATCGTTTCCTCTCCCTATGCAATCTCCTCTATGCTCAGTTCGAGCGGAAGCGCACTGTGATTAAGTAGGATTCACGTGTGCTTGTTGAAAGTTACCCTTTTTTACCTGCCGTCGGCATAGCTCTCTCTGGTCGATGAAATCTAGGCAAGAATAGTCCTGAGATTTTTGAGTGATTGCATATTGATGGAGACAATTCTCTGAGGGAACCAACCGTCAACAAGTGGTTGAAAAGGTTTGGGGAAGGCCGAGATGTGAAAGATGACCAATGCTCAGGCCCGCTCAGGACACCCCTCCGCATCGAGCTCTGAGGGAAATTTTGAACGGCTGTGTTCTTAAAGACCGTCGATTGACAGCTAGAATGATAGCTGAGGAACTGTCAATATCCAAAACAATCGTCCACGAAATTCTGACAGAAAAACTTGAAATGAAAAAAGTGTGCGCGAAAATCGTTTCGGAGCTCTTGACTCCAGAACAGAAAGGAAAGATGGTTGCTTGCTGTGAGGATTGGTTAGAAGCAGAGGAAACGGGGGACTTTCTCAACCGGGTCATCACTGGAGACGAGTCTTGGTTCTACAAATTCGATGTGGAGCTGAAATCTCAAAGCATGGAGTCGGCGCAAGCAGGGGAGCCGAGGACAAAAAAGTCGAAAAAATCAAGGTCCAATGTGAAAACAATGTTGATTGTTTTCTTTGATTCTCGGGGCATTGCTCACCAGGAATTTGTCCCTCCTGGCCAGACAGTGAACGGAAATTTCTACGTTGAAATTTCGCGTCGTGTGGCCCGAATTCGACGGGATTTGGTACAAGGGGGCAGGTGGATCCTTCATCATGACAACGCGCCTGCTCACACGTGTCTCGTTGTGCGTGAGCTTTTGGCCCGAAGCTCAATCACCGGCACCGTGAGAGAACCGCCTTATTCACCCGATTTAGCCTCTCGCGACTTGTTACTGTTCCCAACATGCAAAATGGTGCTTCGGGGCGGCACTTCGGGGAAGTGGAAGTCATCAAGGCAGAAACGACACGGCAAATGAAGAGCCTCACAATTGAAGACTTTCAGCGATCGTATCAACAGTGCAAACGGCGTTGACAGAAGTGCATCTTGTCTTAGGGGGAGTACTTTGGAAAAGACCATATTGAAATACCTGAACAATTAATTGTAAAATAAAGTTCTTATTCCACTTTCATACGTATTTTCCGGACAAACCTGGTACAGTTGGCTATCCTTTCTCAAGTTTTAACTTATTTTTGAGCGGAGTCACAAAATTCCTTAATGGTTCAAAAACTAATCTCATGTATAGGTTTCGGCTACTTCTTGCCTGTATCCTGCATCACATTTTTATACAGAATTTTGTATGTTCTTGTTTGTAACCTTGTGATTTTTATACTTTTAGAATTTGAAATGGGTGTGAAAATTCTTCTCAACTATTATTTTTTCAAATCAGAATAAATTAAATTAATGTACTTGTTATTGCAGTCACCAATGATGTTCTCCAGCATCCCAGATGACGTATGCATGACCATGAAGTTCCTGTCAAACAGTCCGATAGTCCACATCTCCGCCAATACGTACCCACAACTGCCAAATCCTTCAGTAGTGACTGTGACTATGCATCAACAATTCGCCATCAACAGATGGAACTCGACTTACGCGGCAGTCGCCCAATCACCCAGCTATGCGGAGACGCCTCAAAATCAGGCGTCGAATCTGCCGCTATCCATGGATCCAGTTCTATGTAGGTTCATTATATAGTATGTACAAATCCAAGCAAATTGGAAAAAAACAAAATTCTGGTGCCGAAGAAGATTTCAAATATTTCTGATGCGCTGATTATTTTTCCGTAGGAGCTCTAGTTTTCGAGATTTAAGAGATTCAACATTTGAAAAAGTGAAAACTATGCCATCCTCGATCCCAAAAAGCAATATGAAAAAACAAACATTTTTATGTTGTCAAAGTTCCCAAATATCATTCCAACACCCATTAACGAAATCCCAAGATACTTCAAAGGCTATTGTTATAGTAAACCTTTGTTTTTTTATTGCTTTTAATTATCTTATATCAATTTTGCTTATTAAATGGTGAATAAGGCATGCGTCTCCTAGTTTAAGATGATGATTTTCCGTCGGTTAGTACCGCCCTTTCACAATATTCGCGACTTCTGCTGTATCCACCTCGACGATTCTACAAACTGCGTTTGTACGATATACACAAACTCGGGAAGGAAACATCCAGGAAAACGATCTGACTAGACTCCCGAAATTTTAGCAGCGCAGTGTGTTGAAGATATCGTAAACTAACATGAACTCGAAAACTTTGTTATTACCTTTGATAGACATGTGCTAATTTCTGTTTTTTCAAATCCTTACTCATCCTGCAGTGCTGATTTGGATACCGACGCGCGGCCTACCTTTTAAGGGCCGGGCTGGCCAGTTCAATTTTTGCGAAACTTAATACCTCGATTATTTCAAGGCTTTAGTGCATGTGTAACTAGAAAAAATTAATTTTTGTTACCTGAAAGAAAAGTTTCAACTATAAGGACACCGTGCATTTTATCCCAAATCTTTTCACACTATGTCTGATACATAAATATCCATTTTTCAGCTCAAACAAATAACAGCAACGTCCAGAACCAAATGTTACGTCGCCACTTGGGCGACAACTTCAGCCAGAACCTGAAGATTCGTTCGAACTGCTTCGTGACAACCGTCGACAGCAAATTCCTGATCGCATGCGGTTTCTGGGACAACAGTTTCCGCATTTTCTCCACGGAAACAGCTAAAATCGTGCAGATCATCTTCGGGCACTATGGAGTGGTGACATGTCTATCCAGATCGGAGTGTAACATAACCTCAGATTGTTACATAGCGTCCGGGTCAGCGGATTGCACGGTGCTGTTATGGCACTGGAATGCAAGGACGCAGACTATCGTTGGAGAAGGGGAGGTTCCAACGCCTAGAGCCACTCTGACAGGACATGAGCAACCGGTTTCCAGTGTGGTTATATCGGCGGAGTTGGGATTGGTTGTCTCAGGATCTTACAGTAAGTCATAATTCTTTTCTTTTATGCATATTGGCGAAGGAATAAGTATTGTTCCATATCACTCATTTTCGTCAGTCTGTCTGTATGTCTTCTAATCCTTGGTTCGTCTATAACTTGGAAAGTACCGCTAGTATTTAGATGAAATGTTCACATGATATTACTATTCCAAGGACAAAAAAGCTTTTTAATTTTTGAAAATCGGTCCATGGAGGACAAAAAACGAAAAAAAATATAAACATTGATCGAACTTTATTTTGACATTTCAGAGGCTCCTGATCATTTTCAGAAAATACATTTTAGAGGTTAAATATTGAGAGTTGGGAGTTGTAGGGTGTGGGGGAGGGTATATCTTTATATTTTGTTAGTATATCAATATCCTTCAAACCCCGGTAACTCTACGCACCTATTAGACATATTCCACACATCGTAGATTTCTTTGCCCTTGAACCTATTTTCAGCAGACGGATCGCGCACCTATGCTACGTACCTATCGGTCACTCGTGCGCCACGCGGTTGTAAATATTGCATCTTTAATAGTCGATCTGATTGACTTATAAAAGCAGGTAGCAGACGGCGCGATACGCACGTACGAGGTGGGCGCGGTATTATCCATATATACAAGCATTATATACGCTTGGAGTGTAATTTAATGAGGCTAATTTAATAATTTGATTTAGAGAGATAATATTACATAGTTTATTATATATTGATGTAGAGTTATTATAATCTGTTATCAAACATTGTTGATAGACAGTTTTTCACCAGAGCTCCAAAAAAATGAGACGTGTACGGTCACGCTGATTATTGCAATCTGAGGATTTTTTTTTCATGAAAAGCCAAAATAGTGCACTAATGGTTCTGAAAAACTTACGTTATTTTGATGCCATTTCACTACATGTTGAAAGTTGTAGAAGCAATTGTTTGAAAGGCTTCTGCGTCAATCTACCACCTACACCTATAATCGTGAAAAATGTTTATATCGAGATATTTTTATCTTATATAATAAATATGTTAAAGTCAAAACTCACTGGACAAAAATGGTTTTGACCATTGTCCTTAGTCAAAATCAGTTTACCAACTAGTAAGTTTAATTTTAGCAACTAACTAATGAATTTGAATTTATAATTTTATTCTCTTTTCATACTGTTAGGGTTAGGGTATTGATAGTAGATAAATAAATTGTTACCTAATTTGTTTTACTGTATGACGACAATCTTAATAATTATTAATCAAAATGTTCACTTCCTTTCACTAAAAATTATAATGGCAAGTGAACATGAAACATTTTCATTCGCTCAATAATAAAGAAATCATTATTCAAAATTCTCAGTCATAAATAGTTTTGACTTACATTCTTGGTTAAAACCGCATTTGAGCGGTACAATATAGTCAAAATCACTATTCCCCAATATTTTTGACCACCGTCCTTAGTTATAATTTTTGTTGACTGATTTTTGCAGAGAAAAGTGGTTTTGATCGGTAATGAGTTTTGGCTGTAACAAATACATCACGAAACACCATGTCACTTATATACTATATGTCGGTCTGTGAGCCAATCCTTGATTCCTCTATAACTCGGATGACGAATGACTTGAACGCTTCGTGGGTATTTAGAATTGACCAGTGATTGAGCAGAAAACCAGAAAAATAAAACTTCATTATCTGATGTTACAGAAACCCCTACCCATTTTCAGAAGTCTGTCTTCTCATCTAATGACGGTGGTGGTGTTCCGAAATAAAAGGATGGATCTCTAACTATTGAATAATATAGAATATCTTCCTAATCTAACCCGTCCCCAGATATTTCCGATACTTCATCTTAAGGAAGACCAAAAGTTCTAAAATCCTAAAATCCAAATGGTACTTTTCCAGTCATAGACAAACCACAGATTTATTGGTAACAACCGGTGTAAATGAACTACAGCGTGAACAAGTTCAAACTAATCCCTCTAATAAATTGAATAATCATTTGCAGATGGTCCAGTTTTGGTACATACGACGTTTGGAGATCTCCTTAGGTCCCTGGAGCCACCATACGGTTTCAATTCTCCAGAAAATATTGCCATGTCCAGAGAAGGGTTGATAGTTGTAAATTACGAAAAGGGTAGCATTGCTGCTTTCACTATAAACGCTAGAAGATTGAGATACGAGTCCCACAATGACAACTTGCAGGTTAGTATTAATGATATATATCTTTATAGACTAAGTAGCGTCATTGATTAACGTATTCTAACTGAATATAGCCAACGCCAAGGTACTGCGTCCAAAAGCTTGTCTGAGATGAAATGAAATACTGTGATTGAGTTTTTAAGATATCATGGGTAATAAAGGAGTTATCGACCAAAACCACACTAAAAACTCACCCAGCAGACAGCGTCATCTGAGACACTAAACCTTTCCAAAGTATATTAGGTGAATAGAGAAACAGCTGTGATGGGAAAAAATGTATTTTTTTCAGTGCCTATTACTCAGCCGAGATGGTGAATACCTTATGACAGGAGGGGACAAAGGAATAGTAGAAGTTTGGAGGACATTCAATTTGGCTTTGCTATATGCCTTTCCAGCATGTGATAGTAGTGTTAGATCCCTTGCATTATCGCACGATCAAAAGTAAGTAAATATAGTAAAACTCGTGGCATTGAAAATAGGAACAAAATTTATGAATTCAGTCGCTTGAAAACACTTAGATGGATTTTTTTTATTGTCGGGACATTAAATCAGTTTCAGATAATGGTTCTGTTTTCCTTATCGTAATAAGGTACAGAAAACCCACTAACCATTCTTTGGTGATGTTTATTCATACTTTCGTGTTTATCTCTATCCAATGTCAAACTATATACTACATATAATTCAAATATTTTTGAAACTAAAAACCTCAGTAATTTTCTTTCTTTCCATGTCTTTTATACTATATTATATTATTTTTTTAGGTTTCTACTTGCAGGCTTAGCACTAGGCTCGATTGTGGTTTTCCACATTGACTTCAACAGATGGCACCATGAATTTCAGCAACGCTATTAAAAGTAATAACTGCGCAATGACGTTTTAGACGTGGAGTTAACGACTTCAGAAGGTATATCATATATATCATCATTTTAAAATGACAAAGAAGGAAAAAAGAATAAGGAATAAAATGAATCTTACCGAATGTTGAATGTACTTTCTGGGTTTGCTAGCTCTTAATGTATTGTACACGGTGTTTCTACACGATGAAATTATATCTAATTTTTTGTAGATATTTTTGTATATATCTCATAGTTAAGGGTTTTGTTTTTAATCCTTGCTATAGTTGTGCAATATGTTTTAGTATGCATTGTTACCTCACAATATTTATTGCGTTATCAGTGATACTATTCAAATATCTACAGAAATGAAATCCGAGGTTTATTGCTTGCCAAGCATGGAGTAAACTTTATGTAGAATTGGAGCGGATAGAGTAAAAGAAGTACTTATAATATGTATATGTACTTAAGCTATTTTGAATTTTGATATAGTCAACTAAACTATGTCTATGTACACGCTTACTTGTTATTTTTAATGCCTATTAGACGTTGCGAAAACCCCGCATTCGTGGAAGAAATTCGAATTCAAGAGGTTGCCAGTGCAAACATTAAAACAACTTTATTCAGTCTAATTGCAAAAAAACTGTTAATCTTTTCGCTCCGGACAATGTTTGTTGGCGTTTTTAGATTAGTCTGAGTAAATAAGCGCCTTGGTGGTAACATTTCTTTAAAGTTTTCGAATTACAACCGGTTTACGGTTTATATATAGCGCATTTTCAACAATGAAATAAACAATGCTTTAAAATTAAAGACCAAAATACTCCTCGGGGTCTTGTAGGGAAAGGTTTGAACTCCAATTTAGACACTTAGCAAATACAAAAATAATAACTTTTAACCGAGTTTTTGATCATTAAAATGGCCATTTTTGGCGTTTTTAAGACATCAAATTGGGTCACCCCTTCAAGTCACCCTAACCCTAAAGCTGAGTTCTCACGAAGCGGAGAACGCTAGCGTGATTCTCGCGTTCGTGGATTGCCTTCATCTGAACGAGGTGTCGTGAGATTGCCTCTGACGTCATCGGGAGAGATTCCACGACCGCTCATTCTCTGTATCAAACATTCGATTTTCAGGCTTGGATACGCCAGTCGAGAGCGATATATCGTAATTTGCCTTTGAACTGTGTTATGAAATGCGATGCAGGAAATCAAACAGTGGCGGATCTAGAAAATATGTCTGGGGGTCCATATGATGAATTTGAAATTGGCTCCTTAAAAGAATGTTAGTGGGGGCTCAAGATTAATGTTCAGAAAGAACAAAAGAGGGATATCGGCGGTTGAAGAGCTGGGAGATCAGCGATTTAAGACTGAAGGGGGGGTCACCTATAAATTTAAACAGATCTTTTAAAACGCTGATATTTCGGGGGGTCTAGACCCCCAGGACACCGCCCTGGATCCACCCCGGACTTCAATCATTTGTATCATTTTTTTTCAATCTTCAGGATGCCACTTCTTAGGTGTCTGCCAAGTAGTGTTTTCCTAAATTTCTTTATGCAAGTATCCACTTCCTGACCAGACAAAGCTTTGTTTATTACTTGGTACGCCACTAGCTAGGAAGTATTATAATCGCGAAATATTTCGAAAATAAGATGTTATGTTAATTAGATTTTATATAAGATTTACATCTTCAAAAACCGTCTGGCTCATTTCCGTGGGTCAGTAAATCTGCCCATTAAGCGATAATTTTTTTATCTGTCCATGTGGCTCAACCTTTTCTCTAACATACCAGTAAAATCTGAACTCAAAAGAGATCAACTCCTTCATGGTCGGCTTCATAGAACAATGACGTGTCAACGGTCCACAACTCTCGCTGGTTCATTTTTTATTCCCCGCTCAAGTTAAGAGATACGACAGAGAGATCGAAAGCGTGTCGTCTTTTTGCCTCGTGAGAACTTGGGGTCATTTCTAGATACGGTTCTAAATCGCTTATCTCTAGAAAAGATTTGTTAAGGAGCTTTTTTTGTTGAGAAAAGGCTAAAACCTAAAAACACGTGCTTATGAAAAAAAAAACTAAAACAAAGACGGGGTATTCTGCTCATTTATATGTTGTATTTTTGTGTTTTACTCATAGCCTCGATTCACCATGGCGGCTCGTGGGTGGAGGAACTGGGAAATGCTTTCCTTTTTAATTTAAATAGGCTAATAATTCGGTATCTCAAAACTACGTTGAATGATTGTATCTTCTATTTTTTTCATTAACCTATTATAGGTTTTGGTTCACGTGATTACGTTGTCCTTTAGACGAGCCGCCAGTGTGAATATAAAAATAAACATCACTATAACTGATACTTTTAGCCTTATTTATATTGAATACTGGAAAAATGTGTACCTGGTGTAGGCAGGTATACCTAGAAGCTTATGATAGACAAGCATTTCAAATATCATATTTTAAACTTTGCTTTTACGCATAACTGATAAATATAGCAGGACTACAATGCAATTTTATTTGAAACCATATAATGTTTTAATGTTCGTAGAATTCTTATCACTTAATAATAATTGAATTTGTGTTTATGTATATAATAATAAACTTCTATTGAATTATTCGTAATCAAATTACCTGTTGGTTGTGCTATAAGTTCGGTATTGTGAACACCGTTGGGAATGTATTAGAAAATGTAACATTTCCTGTAATTATACTTATTAATCGTATATAATATTGTAATTTAATATGCGATGCAGTGTTGCTTCAAGTTTTGCACTGCACTCGCTAGCAATTGTTATGGCCATTTTGGCAAAACTTCGTGCCTAAGGCGATTGCAAAAACTTTCACTTTTAAAGGAAACACTAATATTGTTAATATAAGCAGATAATGCCAAATATCAACAATTGTTGTTATATGTTAGTGCGGCGATTCAAAAATATCACTAGTTATATTTCTCAAATCTTTTTGATCTTCACTATTTATAAGGAACAGATGTGTCACGTTTGTTGTTTGACAAAAATATTCACATAAAGCCACGTTGCAGGTGTAATACGAGACTTGACATTAAAAATGTATACCGCAACTGGCATAAATATAAAAGTGTTAAGTAAAGTGACATTGTCAGAGCTACACTCTTGCTTTCCTTACCGCATCCGGCAACTCCGCATACCGACATACAAATTTTTCATGTCAAATTTCATATCGAACCTCATACCACAACATGCTGCCCTAACGGCATTGATTAATGTATTCTACCCGAAGATAGCCAACCTCATACTATATTCGCGCGTCCGAAAAATTATATGAGATGAAATGATATACTACGGCGTCATGTATGAGAATCGGTCACACCTATGTTTCTCCTCTCCGAAATCATTAGAAATCCACTTTGAAAAGTGCCTCATGGATGGCGCTGTATCCAACTATATATCAATGAAAAGAATAGATAATTTTTTCTTTTCTTCGAAGTTTCAAAAAGTAAGAAAAATAAAATATTCTTCGATGAATAGTCCAGCTTTAGAACCTCCCTATATATACGTACATTAGGTAACAGTACTTATACTTACATACCTATTACGTTCCTTCAGTAAACACTCCTGTAGTATGAGGTATAATTTAGTATACATAAAAAAGGATTCTTTAGAGAATTCCTAATGAGATAGTTCCTGCTGCATTTATTATAAAGACAATTATTTGTGATATGTTCAACTATCTTTATTTAAGATGCTACCAACGTACAATTATCTTGCTTTTTCATTTCTTTGTTGTCCTGGTCAACAAATTATACCATAAATATATTGAAACAAATTCCTTTGTGAAGGTTTAGGAAGATTCTTTTTCTTTCACTTTTTCAAATGTAGAATTTTTCAGTTCAAGAGCATGTTTTAATGCAGTCGCCTTATGCATTAACGGCACAGTATGTGTGACTTGTCTCACACATACCATGTTTGAAAATTATTCCCTCCAGCAACTGTATTATAATTATTGCAATTCTGTCCAAAAAATCAAACTTGTATATATAACTGACGCGGTTTCCTTTTTTTATGAAAAGCTATTAAGGATTGTAACTTACTGTTATGTTATTTTATTACTTAAAAATGTACTTAACTGTATGGATACTGTATGTTTGATGTTAGCAATAATTATATGATTCATTTGTATACCTGAAAAAAAGTTTGAATAAATGTGTTTTGTTCAATGACAACCGAGTATTTTTGAAACTACCAGAGTATTACAATAGGGGAGCCCACACATTTATTGGATAAAATGTTCTATCGGGACAGAAATCAATGATATTAAATTAATGGGTGAGGCGTACTCTAGAAGTTACTTGTTACAAAAATGGCATCAAGTAGGTTGACTCTTCAGTTCCCACGCAACACTATCATCTGTAAGACACAGCCATAGACCTCATATACTAGATATAGGATAGTTACTTTTATCGAGCGGACGAAAGGAGCATTTCAAGTTAGACCCTCTGAGAAAAAATTTATTTACGAACATAAGAGAGAAATTAAGCGTTCCATCAAGCAAGTTCATACAATTAGTCCACAGACATGCTTTCCGTCAATCCGGCAACGTCGCCTCTCCCAAATAGCTGGTTGCGCCAGTCGTGGCAGCGCGACAGGGCGCCAGTCATACTACGAGGACACAAGAGCGGTTGCCGGCCGATGCAGCGAGACAGCAGAAAAAGAGACGCGTGGCGGCCTGATTCTAGTTTTAAGGGAAAATGTAGGGGGAAAACTACTATGTTTGAATTATATGTAACAGGCTCTTAGAATCACCGGGATTGACATACATCAAAAAACTGCGATACACCCCTCTAAACAAAATTACAGAAATGTCAGGATCCTCTGAACTGTCGAGAAACGAAGTTTCCAGATTTTTTTATTTTTTACTTTTGGTATTTTTCTCTGCCGCCACTGGACCAAAAACTTGGTTTTAGTCCTTGGCATATTAGGGACCGTGCCTGAAAATTTCATCCAATCCCGAACGGTATTTTCCAGAGAGACGGGCCAAGAATTAGTGGACAGACACAGATGGAAATGAGTGCCATGGAGATCATATAACATACAAAAAACATAAAATCTCCTTTTTGGAAAATCAGCAAATTTGCATATGTAATTTCCAGGTTGAATGAGAAAAAGCGAAACTAATTTTTAGCTTTGCATACATCTCAAGTAAGATGAAGAGAAGAAACCAATGGAATTATCATCATTATTAGCACACAAATCCTCACTATGCACCTATGCACTGTCGTTTTCTTCCAGCTTAGATCTCCAATAATGCCATCTCTGAAGCAGATGTTACATCACATGAGAGTCAAGCATTGATAGCTGAAGCATCCTGACGTTTAGGTAACACGTACAGCTACGGAACATGTACACAACAAGTCTAAAACAGCTTGTGCTAAGTTGACGTCTTGTAGAAAAACCTACTTATTGTCTCAAAAAAGCTGTATAATGTCAAAAAAACCGACATAATGCCCGGTCAGAGAGGACTCTAATAGTTTGGATTAGTAATGGATAAACATTTGTGCTGATTAAGTAACGATATTACTCACCTCCTGTCTTTCTCAGAACCAGTACGGCAACCAGTACGCGAGGTCGAAAGTCAAAATAAAATGAAATGCAGTTTTGTACCCAACCAGCATAACACACGTCACGCCCATGGATCACTGGAGTGTAAGAAAACACACTGGACTTTGTTCGCGACAGATCTGCTGTACAGTAAGTATCCGAAATATGTGTCGGCTGAGATTTCTGGCTTTACCGATTTGTCATGCAACTCCACGCTTAGATTTCACTAAGCAAACGTGAAGAAAAGGTTTAAATGCCAGAGTACCGTCACAGTGCTATGAAGAAAATTATAGAGATATTTTTGATATGAGCTTTGATCAGGCTAAAGGCAATGTGCCAGGGAAAAGCCTCTTTCTGGGCCGCTTTCCAGTGGTTTTTGGTTGGATATTGATATGCTCCCAAACTGCTCCAGAAACAATGCATGAGAATATAACGTGCAGTGGAACGGTATTGGTGCTGAGCACTACAGAGTAGCTCAAGAAGGCCACTGGAAAGCAGCTCAGGTAGGTTATTATCTCGATACCCTAGGTACAAAAGACCGGTCGGACTGATCTGATCTCGCCTGAATAAAAAAGAAAGGTAAAAGTATGGCTGAGTTATATAATAGGAATAGAATATGGCAGCATTATGGATGAACTCAGAAACATATCTGTATCGACCATCTTTTTTTTATACTCCAACTACCACGAACGCGTAAGACCTAAACACCGATCGGGTACCGTGGGGCTATTGGGGGATACAGGGGAAAGGGGAAACGCTACGCGGACTCTGGCGAGGGAGCACGTGTGCATGCAACATGCACACATTCTGGCTCCGCCTACGAGAACCGCCGGGTGGTACCTCCGCGTTCGACAGTCAGAAACCGTCTACCACCTACGCACAATCACAACATCCATAGCCAAGAGACAAATTTCTCTTGGAACGGGATTCGAACCCGCACAGCGCACGGCGACTGATCACGAGACCGAAGAGTCTACTACTGCGGCCACCGCTGCTGCCTATCTGTCAATGTAGTATGAGACTTCCTATTAAGGTGGTTTCTTCGAAGTTTCAAAAATAAGAAAAATAAAATATTCTTCGATGAATAGTCCAGAGGCCCCATGCTTTAGAACCTCCCTATATACATTAGGCAACAGTACTTATACTTACATACCTATTACGTTCCTTCAGTAAACACTCCTGTAGTATGAGGTATAATTTAGTATACATATAAAAGGATTCTTTAGAGAATTCCTAATGAGATTGTTCCTGCTGCATTTATTATAAAGACAATTATTTGTGATATTTTCAACTATCTTTATTTAAGATGCTACCAACGTAGAATTATCTTGCTTTTCCATTTCTTTGTCCTAGTTAACAAATTATACCATAAATATATTGAAACAAATTACTTTTTGAAGATTTAGGAAGATTCTTTTTCTCTCACTTTTTCTAATGTAGAATTTTTCAGTTCAAGAGCATATTTTAATGCAGTCGCCTTATGCATTAACAGCACAGTATGCGTGACTTGTCTCACACATACCATGTTTGAAAATTATTCCCTCCAGCAACTGTATTATAATTAATGCAATTCTGTCCAAAAATCAAACTTGTATATATAACTGATGCGGTTTCCTTTTTTTATGAAAATCTATTAAGGGGAAACGCTACACGAGACCGAAGAGTCTACTACTGCGCCCACCGCTGCTGCCTATCTGTCAATGTAGTATGAGACTTCCTATTAAAGTGGTGTCAATCAAATGTGACTCTTGCCATGTAGTGTGGCAAAGCTGATTCATCATCTCGACCCCTATGTGAAAAATGCAGAAACGCACTACACCTTCGCACCAAAATGAAAGACAGTACCGTGCTAAGAACGTCTAGATCTAGAGAGAAGGGCCTAATCATGAATCGATTTCGGCCTATGAAAAAGAATTCTTCGGTTCATTGACGATTCCTCTCGATTCTGATCCCCAAAACATACCATCGGTGTACCCGCAGGAACCGCTTATCGATGGTTTCGATACCAGCACTTACGAAAGTCTATCCGGCTGATTTTTAACGAACTGTTTGAAAGACATGTTCGAGTGGATTCGGATATTGTTTTAATTTTAAAGTTCCCAAATGAAGAACGATCTACTATCTGTAGTGCATGAGTGCTACGGATACATTTTGCCCTTGGACGGTTACGGGTATGGTAGCATGGGACATGTTGGAAAGGGTGCTTAGGGGTATCAACTGATAACCCATCGCAAGGTAGTGTCTGATCAAACTTTCGGTTTCGGCCAGTTTCGGTCCAAAATCAAAGTTTCGGCTTAGTTTCGGTTTCGACAGAAAATCCGTCGAAACTGGAACCAAAACTACGTGTGTTTTCTCACTTACAAATAATTTATTAATTTCAGTTCAGGCTCAATTTTAGGCAGAATACTCAAAACAGTTTGTACAAACTAAATCTCGTAAAAAATGCCTCGGTTACTCTTGGAAATAGTGTTTCTTTGAATAATTCTTCTAGAAAACCAATTTATCAGTTCAAGATACACAAATATTCGTTTAAGATATCATCATGACCAATAAAATCCATTTTTGGAGACTAAAGATGGATTAGACGCTTTTTGTATTCCAAATGTTTATCATTTAAGTTAAACACAGTTTACAGAATTCTAAACGGGGCTTAAATACTTGTACATTAAACATATTCAAATTAAGCTAGGTTAAATAGTATTCGTGCAACAGGCAGTAAGTTGTTATTTTTGTTTTATTGTTTGTTTTGTTACAAAACATAAGTTTTTGTTTCAAAGAGACAAATGTTTAGTGTTTTCTTTAACTAATTCTTAATATTTGATAAAGACTGATTACTACATTTTATACAGAGTTTATTATTATAGATAGTTTTTTACTTTAATAATAAACTTATTTTTGCTAATAATAATTGGTTAAGATTGAGTTTGTTTCCCTTGGAGATATACTATCTTACCTCTCATTGGGAGGTTCCAACTTCTCACATATACCATATACTCCTCAGTTAAAAGTTTCGGTTCCGGTTTCGGCCGAAACTGAAATTGGACCGAAATTTTGGTTTTGGTTTCGTTTTCCGCTGAAATATTGTTTCGGTCGGACACTACCGCAAGCTGCTATTTTGGACCCTACTGACACTTTTATGCAAACGTTGGAAATTGTGTATAGTTGGACTTGCACATTGTATCAATCAGTAGTTCAGACTTGAATTCAAATGCAATCGTTTTCGAAATCGAACGTTCCAAGATCTGAATCTAAATCGTCGTTCCCTATTCCTTTTGAGATCCCCTTTGCAGTACCATTCCGTTTGAACGATTCGGTCAAAGCCGACGACTCAGCTCTATCAAAGAATGGACAACCCGTCAATTAGCGGGAACTACCAAATGCACTAAGAGAAAAACACCAGTAAAAATTTTAATTAGAGCAATTAAAAAATTTAATAAACTATGTGACAGCTAACAAACTTAATTAGTTCAATTAAACTCCGATTTCTAAAACAGTTTACTTAAATCTATAAAACTAGTTTGATTGAATCAAAACGTAACCGTATAATTAGACTTAATAAATCGTTTACTTAGAGTGAGTAAAGCGAGTCATTTAAAATTAATGAACTACTGAAATGAGTTTACCTGCTCTATTTAAAACAATTAATTATATTTATTAAATTTATTTAATTATTGTAGTTAAAACTAGATACAAACACAGAGTGCTTCATTGGGAACGAGAAACATTCTAACCATGGTTATGAATCACTAAACGACTTATGCTTGAGTATTTCACTTCAGTTACTTCACCAACAACGCCAACATTCGAATACAAAGCTCATCACAAAACTCACAAATAAAACTGAGGAGTTCGAAGCGTGTCATCAGTACTCCACCTGAATAAACTGAATAATTTAAATACTTAATAATAGAAAATTAATTACGTAATGTTTACGAAGCTGATCTTCGTCCTCATCCCATATGATGAATATAACAGGAGAGCCCTACCCGTACGCCTCTAGCTCATAGTTGCTTGATGTTCTGCACAAAGAACAGATAGATGTCGAACCACACCATAAAGGTCGACTCTTCTAGCAGTCGGAATACTGAGTATTGACAGAGCAAATGGACATATGTATGTTTTCCGTCTCTGTAACCATGACCAACCGCAGACAGCGCTGTTTCGCTACTTATCAGTGCGGTATAGGTCTAATAGTCCTGGAGACAGACGAAACAAGGACGAACCTAATACCAAGTATTCGTGGCTATCAGTACTGACGGTACCTGGAAACGGCGTCGTATACGGTTGGTCAAAGCCACAGACGTAACCAAATTCAGTTCAGCATATACACAGAATAATGAAAAGAAGGCAACACATTGAAAACGTCGATCTCTTTTCTTTTGTTAAATATTATCGAGAAAGAATATTTAGTTGCAATGCTGCATTTCTCGAAAGGAATTTGTACCTTGCAGCAAATAGAAAAATATCAAAACATAGTTTGTTGTCTTGCAAACACATTTTTGGTGCACCTAGGAAGCCGAGTTTCGAGTCGACAATGTTTTTGTCTCCTGACTGTACCTCAGACAAATCATTAAGAGCATTTATATACTCAACTACAAGTATTGTAATGTTTTGTGTTCGTCCCCAACCATCAGAGTTTGTGTGATTTATAAAAGATAATTGGTAAGTACCACATTACAACGCTTATATTACCGTATGACGCATATATTATGATGATAAGGATAGATTCACTCATGCAAGTAGTGAAGTAGTACACATTGTAGTTTCACTTGTATATCGTAGTAGACGCACTAAAGTTAGTAGCGCCGGCGCGTACATACAAAATCACCATTCTTCAGTTTTGATTCATAGAAGTGTGTAGATTGTGAACTTAGGTAAGTGTAACAAGTATTTGGCTCATAATCATTCAACTTCCAAATATTTGACGCCAAAGTTGGCAAAAGTCACGTTGTCACGTAGCCTCTTCATATTTATAAAACCAACAATACGCGCGTGCTATGAAATTTGTCTTTTCTAGAAGTGCATAAAATCCTATGCGCCGGTTAAGAGAATCAGTGTGAGTGTCAAACAGGTCACATTGAAAATTATAAATAATATCTGATAAAATAATAAGTACCCACTTTAAATGAAAAAGAACACAATGCAATGCTATCATAGAAAGTTGCCAAGAGATAGAGTTTTGCTATTTTTTAATACAGGTATACTACTAAAAGAAAAAAAAATCGAAATGGGATAAAAAACGTACACATTGCCTTCAGTTTTGATGGGTTTTTCTTATAATCGTTTAGTTTTGCCTATAGTGCCTACGAATGTTTACTAAAATCAGTCAGTTTTAAATTATTTCTAGAATAAGTAGTAAACTTAGACATTTTGAAAAGGTGGTTGATGGGTAGGATATTCCTACATTTTACAAAATTCCCTTGGAAGTATTTCAAATATAGGTAGCTCGAGAAGGACCTGACTTTGGTCTGCTAGATTCCCAGATTGAAACCTCCTAGATTAATGCTTATTAGACCATTCCGAGTTATTAGCTCACTGAATATTCACGAAATCTCGTGGCAAGGAGGTAGTTTATGGCAAGAACAATAGTCAGCTGAGGATTTTTTTCGAAAGGACCGGATTAATGTGGGCTAAGGGCATTCGCAATTGTTTATAAATGTCATTTATTTCTTCTACTAGAAATTCTCCCAGAAGGTATTTCATAGGTACATACCAATTAAGAACAGTTTTTGTGACAGAGCCAGATTATGGGCAGCTATGGGCATATTTACAAATGTGTATCAAAGTTCTTTGTTTTTCCTACTAGATACCTAAAATTTCAGAGACAGATAAAAAATTTGTGATGGGATTATGGGAGTGGGGGGGGGTTAAAGGCATTTACCAGTTTGTATGAAAATCCTGTCTTTTTTCTACGAGGAATCAAAAATTTGGATGAGAGGTATTTTGCAGACAGTAGATATCAGTTAAGAACAAATTTTGGGACAGAAAAACTTAATTTTTTCTACTAGAGATTGGAGGCGTGTATTGCGCCCAGGTGAAGTCGCACGGAACAGTTTTTATTGTAGATTCAAGGGCTAAAATTGTGTTGGAATAGCCCAAAGCAACATGCTTGAATTATGCTCCACGTTTTAGAACCACCCTGTATGTTCATTTTTTTCAGAGTATAACCATGTCTGCTGAGCCCCCGAGTATCCAAGGTGGCAGCAATGTTGGAGTGTCTGTTACCCACGGTCCATCACCAACATGTATGGAGTCTGTAAACAGAATTTCAAAACTGCCAGTGGTCGAATCTACCATCCAAACTGCCACGAGCTTATACGAGAAAGTTAAGGTATAAAAATTTATGACTTTCACTTTAACAAGTACATGTTTTCTCCGAGGTAATATCTATAACCTTTATATTCATTGTGCGTTGTAGAAAGACAAATATGCACTTTGTGCATCCAAGAAACGGGTTTTGGTCGAGGTTATATTTTCGAGCTTTACCTTCGCCATTAAAAAAATATTATCATAATTACTTTACATTCACTGGTACTCTCTACAAAACCAAATAGGCTCATTAAGTAATGGAAAGATCGGAACTTCCTTATATTTATGTCATTGCATTGTACAAGTATCTAGTTGAACTCCTGTACATATATTATTTATATATTGTACATCTAAGCTAGTCATAAAGCCAAAGTCTAAACGCCAATCTAGTCACTATAGGAACAAATGATTGTAGCAGTCAATGTTCGATGTTTACAAAGAACGAATGAGCTCGAATGGGTCAACTTACAAGTGCATTCAAGCAACGACAGTGCGTAGAACTAAGTTGGGTGGACCTCTGGATCATGGAAGGCCACGCGTATAAATAAATGATTATTATTCCTTTGTTTACTCTATATATGAAACAAATAAATTATCAACACTTTTTGTTTTATTTTGTACGAGGCCAATATGATCGATCAGTCGTTTAACTTAAAACTAACGTTGCAATCAAAATATATTACTTAATCTATGTATAAAAGTATTTCATTAAAATGAAATATTGAATACTACCAATAATATATGCTCACAAAAAATACTCAATGAACATTACTTGAACGCCATCGTAAAATACCTTTATATTTTGAATAATAAACCATTTAAACCGACCAATATGGCCTTGTTATGTAAGGCCAAAAATTTCCATCAGACATTATTAACGTACAGTTGGAAAAAATAGTATATTTTACTTGAATACTCGAGTTTATAAACGGCCTTAGTAGGAGTATGACCTTCCATGGTCCACTCACTTTATGTTATGAAGATATTCAAATCAAGTGGGCAGAATAAATATATAAAATTCGTCATTCGCATTTCTATTTACTGCCTGTTTCTATATTTTTTAGGACTACAATACAGTTACTCACTGGACTCTATCAACAGCAGAAAGTACAGTTCAGAAAGCAGTAGAAGTTGGCAAACCCATTGCAACTCCCGTTATCAAGAATTTGGAAGGTCCTATTAAGAAAGTAGATGGAGTATTTTGTACTGGTCTAGATTATGTTGAAAACAAACTACCAGTTGTCAAAATGCCACCTAACGAAGTAAGTACATACATAATGTATGCACAACAAAATAAAAATAACTGCAAGATACACGTCATGTCCACCAAAATTCAGTTCTATCTATCTTGAAAATGTTTTTGAAAGCAACATTCTATGAATATATATATTCCTTCAGAAATAAATTGAAGTGATATAAAATTCGGTACGCAAACTTCCAACATAAGTATAATTACTATAATTCTACTAATACTATATACTATAATTCAGATATCTTATGTATAAAGATTATATTGCAAAAACTGTCGCAGACAACATTAAAATAATGAGTATTTAAATTACGTGTCAACGAACTCGTTTTATCCAAATTGTATATCTTCATAAATTACCTCTAAAAATAGTTTACAGCCTAAATGAAATGTAAGCAATATTGTTGAAAATTATGTAATGACTGAACTTTTTTATGGCTTTTATAGAATTCTGAAATTACGTGGACTTCGATAATTGAGTACATGTATTTTAAGTAATAAATATTTATTTCCCCGTTCAATTTGTTTACTACGTAATTGGCCATAATAACGACTCAGCATTTTGTCTTTAATTTTTTGGCTGAAAATTTAAACCCAGCTGCTTTGAAGGTCTAGCGTTATAACGTTTACTTATATGAAAATCGTACATTGATTAATATTTATCTACCATACGTCTGTAACAAGTCGTAACAAATTTCTTTGTCTAGACACCAACGAGGTTACGTTTATTTCAAAGCACACTTCTGGCTTAAATCTACATTTTTACGATATGTAACTAAAAAATCACCTTTGATAAAAACAAGGCAAATGTAATATTATAAAGCTCTTTTAGTATCGTCACTTTTTCTCCAAAGATAACGTCAAAAAAGCTTCAAAATCAAAATACACCCAAGCTTATGGCCTGATACCGGTGTTTCGTACTCTAAGGCCCGTATCGTCAGTCGTCCCTACAATAATTGTAGGGTGCGTTTACGGCCTCCTTGATTGTCATACTCTGTTCTCTCCTTCAAACATTTCTAGATTACACTCGTCAGCTTCAGCGCTCTCCTATTGTTAAGATATGTTTTCCTTTTAAATTGTAGGAAATTTCAGGCTGATGAAACATGATATAACTCAAAAGCAAGCACAATTTGATGCAAATAGATGTTTGTGACATAACCTCAAAATAGAGCTCTGACACGGAGAAGTAGAAAACTATGACAATCAAGGAGGCCATAAAAGCGCCCTACAATTGTAGGGACGACTGACGATACGGGCCTAAGGTGCTTCCTCACGGAGCAGAAATACGAGAACGTGTAACGCTTTTATCTCTCTTTCGTGAGACTTTTCTTGAGCGGGGAGTCAAAAATTTAATGGTCGTGGTCCGTTCACACGAACAGGATTAAGTTTATTTCATGAGACCGGCCATGAAGGAGCTTCTTTTAGAGGCATGTTAGCGAAAATGTTGTAAGTCACGTGGAAGAGATAAAGTAAAAGATGCATTTTTGTAAGGTCAGGAAGTCAATACTTGCAAAAAGGAAATTGGCGAAACACGATTTTACAGATGCTGAACTAAGAAATGAACACCATGGAGATTTAAAACAACTGCTACAAATATTTGAAGTTGTGTATCATTTCCACCTGGAACGCGTTTCACCAAAAACTTCAAAGGGAGATTACGATCTTCTTCTCTTTCAACTGACTTGAAAATAAAATGTGTTTGATACTCAGCGTAAGCCGTCGTCGACTTGCTGCTCTCCCGATAACGTCCGAGGTAAACTCACGACACCTCTTTCAGACGGAGATAATTCCACGAACGCTAGGATTACGCTAGCGAATCGTGAAATAGCCTGGCTTTAAAACAATATTTATTTTTCCGTTAGATTCTTTAATCAACAAAAGAATACGTCAAAAAAGCTTCAAAATCAAAATGCACGCAAGCTTATGGTCTGATACCGTGTTTCGAACTCAAAGTTACTTTCTCACGGAGCAGCCATACGACAACGTAACACGCTTTCGATCTCTCTTTCGTGAGACTTTTCTTGAGCGAGTCCAAAATTGAAGGGTCGTTCACACGATCAGGATTAAGTTTATTCCATCAGACCGACCATGAAGGAGCTTCTTTCAGCGAAAACGTCGAAAGTCACGTGGAAGCGATAAAGTAAAAGATGAATTTTCGTGTTTCATTTCCTTCTGGAAATTTCAAAGGTAGATTACGATCTTCCTCTCTTTTAAGTGACGTGTCCATGCCTGAAAATAAAACGTGTTTCATACTGAGCGTGAGCGGTCATGGACTTGCTTCTCTCCCGATAACGTCAGAAGCAAACTCACGACACTTCATTCAGACGGAGATAATTTCCACAAACGCTAGCGAATCGTGAAAAAGCCTTACTTTAAAACAATATTTATTTTTCCTTTAGATTCTGGAATCAACGAAGAAATACGTCAAAAAAGCTTCAAAATCAAAATTCACACACAACACAAGTTTATGGCCTGATACTGGTGTTTCGTACTCAAAGCTACTTTTTGATGGAGCAAAAATCCGACAACGTAACACACTTTCAATATATCTTTCGTGAGACTTTTCTTGAGCGGAGAGTCAAAAATTTAAGGTTCGTGGACAGATCACACGATCAGGATTAAGTTTATTCCATGAGACCGACCATGAAGGAGCTTCTTTTAGTGGTATCTTAGCGAACACGTTAAAAGTCACGTGGAAGACATAGAGTTAGAGATGAATTTTTATGGGGTCGAGAAGTGAATATTTGCAAAAAGAAATTTGGCGAAACACGACTTGACAGATGCTGAGCTAAGAAAGGGACACCACGGAGATTTTAAAAAAATTGCTTCAAATATTTGAACTTTTGTTTCATTTCCTCCTGGAATGCGTTTCGCAACATATTTCAAAGGAAGATTACGATCTTCCTCTCTTTCAACAGGCTTGTCCACGCCTGAAAATAAAACGTGTTTGATATGAGCGTGAGCGGTCGTGGACTTGCTTCTCTCCCGATAACGTCAGAAGCAAACTCACGACACTTCATCCAGATAGAGATATAATTCCACGAACGCACGGATCACGCTAGCGAATCATGAAAAAGCCAACAATATTTATTTTTCCTTCAGATTCTGGAATCAACAAAGGAATACGTCCACAACACCGTCCAACCAGCCGTAGATACCGCACGCAGCTATGCCGAGCCAGCAGTCAAGCAGGCAATGGACATCGCTCAACCTGCCGTCAAGGCAGCTGTTGAAGCAGCGCAACCTGCCGTCGAACAAGCGAGACATATGGTCGAGCCACTGGTACAACCAGCGCTCGATAAAATGAATGCTGTCAAAGAAAACGTACTGCACAAGGTTGATGAGTATCTGCATAGAGGACATAATCATGAAGGTAAATTCACACTCCTATTGGTTAGAATGTCAATAAAATATGTAGGCAATGAGAATCAGAGAGGTGATTGCACAATTCGTAGCTTTGGACGGATTTTGATGTGAACAATTACATGTTCTTCAAAAATGAGATAATTTGATTTTCTCATTCATAGGCTTACCTCAATGTTACTACTGGCTTCTAATTTATAAAAGTATGTATGAGAATTTTTGTTCTCGTCCGTAAGTACACTAGGAGTATAGTCGGGCATTAGATGGTAATATTCCTCATAACGAACACTTTGCTCGGTACTGCTGTGTGTTCGAAATCTTTTGGTGTCCACCCTCGATATTAAAAACCATTGCTTGATCTCGACGGATGGCTGCGACCATTACTTAAGTTAGTATGGTTTGTTCAAGACAGAGCAAGTCAAACCTGTTAAGCAATTAACAGGCAGAGACTAAAAAGTATGCACAGACTAAAAAGCGTTCTATCGACAATCTCATCGGTACCAAAGAACCAAAATGGTGCGAAAAATAGTCCGATGGACGCAACAAAACCATAATCCAAAGCTTAAAGAACAAGCACTGACTCCATACAAAATACAGAGGTGAGTGCGATCCTGGACAGGTACCTGACTGCACCACCCGCTGACCATTGGCCTATGTTAACTGTTGGCACTGGTTCCATCTGAATGCGGCAAAAGAAAAATGCTGGATTGACCTACTGAATATTTGTTGTCCACACAAACGTACATCGTTCAGGCACCGGTGCGTTATGGCTCCATGATGCATTGTCGTGTTCAGGGAACAGTGGACAAAGCGTTCGATTTAATAGAGCATTTAGTACTTATGCTGCCATCATGCGCATTTAGTGTCAAAGATGAAATGATAATCAGTGAATGACTTGTTTAGGATTAAGAAGGGCATTAAATATTCAACCGAATAACGTAATGAGAGTCTTAAACTTTTGAATCAACCATGCCGAAGAGAAATATTTTCAAATAACTGTTCCCGACGACCTCGGCAGCGATATCGATCTCTGCTTTTTACTATACCCCATTCGTAGTCCATTTACCCCCAGACAAAACACAACATGCCTAAAAGCGATATTGTACAGGTCCGTATTTTCCTCAATGGTCTTGGAATAATCTAATAAAATAAATGACTATTTTTATAGAAAGAAGTGCACATACTTTTCACAATTCTTTATTCGCTGGAAGTATTTGAATGAACGGCCGAATGGTTAATATCAATTATTACAGGTTCAATTCGAATATCGATCATATTGTCCAGATCCCACATCTTTGTTTCGATTGTCTCTTGAACGTGACGGATGCAATATTTCCAAATGTTTGCCGTCGCTCTGTTGATAGCTTCATAAAACAATTTTTTCACGTCAGAAAATTTGAATGTTCTATTGTTTGAAGCCACATAGTTTTTTATATTTTCCCAAATCGTTTCAATGGGATTTTATTCGCAGTGATAAAGGGGTAGCTTTAAAATGGTCTTATTTTGGTTTTTAGCCGTTTCGTCAATAACATTAAGATTATATTTATATTTGTGCTGCCTGACTAGATGGATAAGTTCTGCTTTAACCATATTTTCATTGAAACTAATGTCTTTTGATGGAACCATTGTTGAATTTCTGCCTTTCTTTGTGGGAATTTTTTCTAGTTTTCTAGTGTGGTATGCAGCATTATCAAGTACTATGACGGCGTTGTCGTCAAGCTTTGGGAGCGTTTCTTCAAACCATCATTCAAATAAACTCCCGCCCATTTCTTCATGGTTTTCGGTCGTTTTCTTTGACTCAAATGCCCATAGGGCAGTGGGCACAAAGCCATCTCCACTGCCAATGTGACAGATAACAAATCGTTTCCCTTTTCCTGGAAATAATACAAGCAGAGTATCTAAGAGGTGTTGGTTCCAAATCTACCAGATATAGCTAAGCTTAGTGTAGCTAAGTTTCCAGCGTGGGCTCATAGATTCAGTCGACTCAAATGACAAATTGGTTAGATACACGTACCGGCCGGATTCTTTAGGCCAGTGGCTAGTCCATCTAAGAAGGCTTGTCTTGCTGATTTAATTGTAGAGTCAGCCCATACTTTAGGTTTTGAACGTTAAGGACAATTTATTTTGCCTGAATATTCAAATGTCCCTTTTTGTTACGTTTTCGGGGAGGAGACATCACAAAAGAGGCATGGCTGAATGAAGCATTGGGAGAAATATTCTGTTTCATTTGTTGTATCCGTAGACAACATGCTAACGTATAAACACACGCTATGTATGCACCGAATATGAACAGCAACTGCCGGCGTCGGCATACCGGCGATACCCTGAGCCTGAGCTCTATCCTGTCGAATCCTGCACTTGTTCGTAGTTTTATGGCCAAATGACCAATAGCTATTTCAAGGCTTAGGCGGTTGCCGCTTTGCCGCGCTGCATCTTTGTTGTGTTAAGTGGACTACAAATAGGGTATAATACCAGTACAAAGTAGAGCTGGGTCAAATCGTTCCTTTTGGTGATTCGATCGAATGGTTTCGATCCCGTCCTCGAAATCGACTCTTTCGATTCGTTCACAACTCCGATTTCGGCCTCCGAATCGATTCCATCGTATCGTTCACAATGTTCGTAATTACAATTCCTTTGATTCCAATTAATTTTGACTCCAGTTCCTTCCGATTCTTACTCCATGCCTTTCGATTCCGATTCAAGCAAGTCCGAAACAGCGGCGACTATGTATGAAACGAAGCGATGTTGGGAGTTGAAGTTCGTGATTACCTGACGTAGAACATCGATGCGGACTCAATTCACGATGGTATGCTTGAGATAAAATCGGGATCATCATAATTCATAGAAAAGTCTCCTGTTGATATATTAATCAAAAGAAGAACCAGTTTAAGGTCTTTAAGCCCTTTCATCTGATTATTTCATGGTGTGTACAAACATGCCTAAAAAATAACGTTATACATTTTCTTTTGCCAAGAAAAGCATTTTTTGTACATTCTTCAGTCGTAACTTGTTAACAAATATCAGTACAACTCTGAAATTCTATCACTTTTATGACAGAATGAAGCGGGTGATTACTTCTAATCTCATCACTTTTTCTCTTCGAAAAATCTTTAATTTTCTTGAAAGCTCATTTTGCAGCAAATTGAGTTTTCAAGAGAGAAAGTCGTAAGAAAACAAGAAATCACTCGCTTCATTTTTCTATAAAAGTGGAACATTCACATAATAATTTTAGACCTGTACTATTATTTGTTAACAAGTTACGATTGACGAAAAAACGCATGAAAAATGCACAAAAAAGCTTTGTTGACAAAAAATTACATTGTTTTTTAGCCTATATCTCTATATACACCATGAAACAATCAGACGAAAAGTATTAAGAATACTCCTCCAGACAGGCTGTTGGGAAAAAGGTACACGCGATGTTAACAAGCCAGTAATGTGTCGAAAATTGGGTTATGAAACTTTAGTTTACAGTAGAAAGATATAACCTGAAAAGTAACTCCACGGATTTTACTTTATACCATTTATGTTTAAGAATAATAAAATATATGTTTGTCATTTTAGAAACCTTGTTAGCAATTTGTCGTTTATTGGCTTGTTTGCCTGTTTAAATGAATATCGTGTTTCTGTTGCATACATACAATATTTATACGCCGATAATATTTTGTATGTTACCCTTCTTGAGACATCGACTGAAAACTTATAACAATCACAACACGTCTATTAATGATTCTTAACTACCTATATATTACTCAATCAGAATTTCTTCATTTTAAGAAAATACTCATAGAAAATCTTCTCAAATTACCCTCATCGCAAATATTACCAAAAATAGCTGACGTAGGCAACAAATTATAAAATTCTGTCATTCTCCTTCTTTGTAAGCTTACATCTTTCCACGATACCTGAACACAGACTTAGGTTTTCAAGATGAACATGTCAAAATATCTAAAAAACAAACTTCAAATTCGAGAAATTCGTTTATAATGTGCGTGGAATAACATTTCATAAATCAAAATATAATAATGAAAAATTAAATGACAACTAAGCTAACTCCAAATTTCATTACTCCATACCAAATTATCTTTTAGATCGGTGCTCGTTTGGAGTCGCTGCAATCAAAAGCGCTGGTGCGAATACTCTTATTACGGTATCAGCAACATTCGAGCAGTACTGTTCCTTTTAAACAGTTCGTCAAAACCCGATACGACCCGTTTCTAAGGAATCGAAATGCCAATCATACAGGCCGGAATCAAAACCGCCGTAGTCGGAATCGAAATCAGCCGAATCGGAATTGAAGCCACCGGAATTATTCATCCGATTCCTATTGCGGTATAATTCGTTCTTCCACTACAAAGGGGGCATTAAGACTTCCCTCCTCCGCGTTCTGGTCTTGCCCTAATGCCGTACACTTGGCAAACCTCAACAAACCCTCACAAACGCAAACGTGCGGATAGAGCGTTTAACTTGGTTTGCGTAGGTGTGTAATCTACTAATGCTGATTTTTGATCCCAAACGTAACTTTGTTCAGTAATAATTTGGGTCCAGCTGAACTCTAGTGTTTTACTCAACAGAATGTCTTTCAGATAAACTCAGTACTTAGTTCAAATGAATTAAATTTTTTGAGTCAACTAAAAAGCAAGAAACTTACGATGTAGGTACTTCTAATTTCTAATGACCAATAGGTATAAAAATAAATGTATTTAATAAATAAAATATTTTCTAAATGAAATATATAAAAGATCAACGATTGAATAGGGAATAACTTCATTTTAATCTTAGTCAATAGTTTCCATCCCTGTCAAAAACAGACAATCAGCCTTTTCAGTTGATCCGGATTTTATGAATCTGTAACCACCTACCATCCTCTTGACCATACTTTTCCCTTTGACTTATTGTTTTGTTGTTGTTTTATAGTAAATATAAGTTAATCTATATATTATGACCGACACAAGTTTGATGTCCGCCAAACGTGTGTCTGGCGACGTTTGCGTCCTCAAAAGCCAAACGTTTGTAGAGGTTTGCGGCAAGTGCCAAGCTTGCGGACGCGGCATAAGATTTCTGATGGGACTTCTTTCCGGCCACAGCTATATTTGATGGGGGTCGGAGAAGATCTCAGAGGCACGCTGCGAGGTAGAAGAGGAATCCTAAGCGCACATTCTGTGTAGTTTCAAGCCTCTGGGATGCGAGCCATTTTGCTAAACCAAAGCAGTATAGAATTGGGTTTATTTTGCAGGGAATGCAGCAGAATGTACCGAATGTCAACGTGTCAGAGATGAAATGGAGAAGCAACATAAGGAACAGACCCAGCGAGCTCAGGAGCAGTAGGAAATCTATTTAAAACGGTGTACTGAAAATGTTCAAACGCGTTTATTTTGTAATTCTCAAATGTTTTTTATTCAAATATTTATAGATGTATTTTTCTGTTAGGTATAAGTTACATTTATATATTATGCTCATTTAGTTGATATGAATAAATGATATACAAGTTTATTCTTTCAATTTCGTTTTTTAATTTCATTGAATGCGATTTTTGAAAAACGGAAACGTAATCGACACATTACGAATTTTTGGTATTCAGCATCACTAATTACGAAGAAAACAGTATTTTAGTTCGATAATATTTAGAGAATTTTTGCCAAGTACATTTTTACAAACAACTCGACTGCAGTAACTAAAAAAAATAATGTAGATTTAACTGTGTCATCAAGACGAAAGTCATAATCCATCAAGCCGTTTGGGCTGTAATAGACATTTCAAAGTTGAGATTTGAGTTTAAAATCTGCTATTTTGATTTTGTAGAATTTTAATATTCCAAGTGTCACTCGTATAGTCAAGACAAATCTAGAGAGTCTGTCAAATTTCATAAAGCCGTTTAAGTTGTAGCCCGTGAAAGAGGAATTTCGTGGTTGTATGTTTTTAAGTTCACCATAGGATTTTTATAAGATTTAAACATAGCCAGTGCCACTCACACTCCAAATAAAAATAGTACGCCACTCACACAAATACTCGTAATTACATGTGTTTTTCCTAGAGTGCATTGTTTTCGTAAAAATAAAAAAAATAGATAATCACAGGTTTATTTCAATAAATGTTCAAAAAAAGATCACCATTCTGACGTATACAAGTGCGGCATATTTGTATTAAGAAAAACGGAAGTTATGTTGCTGTCATTTAACCCTTTATTAATTGATATAATAATTGAATTGTATTCCTTTTTACTAGCTCATCACTTTTGGTTTATATTAACGATTGTATCTTAATTATGAGTCAGTCATTCAATCTCAGTCACAGCGAACACACACACTAATTCCGGTTCGGTCCATGTACACTATTGTTAGAACCAAATAAAGTTTTTTAAAAACGAAGTTTGATGTTCCGAATACATAATTGGCGTAGCCCGCAGTAGCATTCCCAAAGGGATTTTCGCCGATTAGCCCTTGAGTCCGAACTCTTAATTGTCTTAATTGGGAATCACGAACCTCCGTGACGAGCCGGTACGACTGAAGAATTGAATTTGAGATTACCCCTGCAGTTAAAATGCCATTCCAGATTGTCCACTTAGATGTATATCAAGCTAACAATAAGAAATTTTTAACAATAATTCGCAATTTTTCAAAATATGCGCAAACCTTCCCCTTTCGAAGCAGCTGATGCTATCTCTGTTGTAGACAATTTGATCAAATTCATGTCATTTCATGGTTTGCCCATCCAAATTGTTGTAGATCCTGGCACTGAGTTCAACAACTCCTTAACAAAAGAGCAAAACTCCATAAGATAAAGCTACAACTTCCAAACATTCAAACCTATTGAACGATTCCACTCCACTATAACCGAACATTTAAGAGCTCTTGCATTGCAATTTCCAAAAAAGGATGTTAATTCTTTGATGCCCTATGCAATTCTTGGCTACAATTAGTCCATACATTCAGTGACGAAACGAAAACCAATTGAAACTATTAACGGACATTTAGTCGTTAGAGATCCTTTTGATCTAGACGTTGATCGAGAATTAATGAACAATTACCTTCAAGAACACAAGAATAGGACAAAATTAATTTATAGCCTTATCTATGACATATCGAAAACCCAAAAGGAAAAGGTTATTCGAAAAGCTAACAAAGATCGCGAGAAACCGACCGACTATTCTAGAGACGTGACGCGATGTCCCGAGGTAAAAAACTGAAACCACCCTATGTAAAAGATTTTAATTGACAAAGGTTTAAAGATAAAAGCTAATAGAAATATTTATCATAAAAGTATTTTCAAAAAGCCCAGAAAGAAAGTAACTCAAAATTTGTTACAGGATGATACTTCGTCTGATAGAGCATCTGACACATCAGTCGACGGTGAAGGTCACCACCCTTAAAACAAATCCTGGTTTGCTACCCTTCAGATTAGGTGATGCTAAAGTAAAAAATAGGAACACATACATTTTTACACTATGTAGATTTTGAGCCGATAATTAAGGAAGTAAATTCGCTAAGTACATTATTTCAGGAAATCAAGGACCAAACAGAAAAGAATAAATATAATTTAGGATTCATTCCAGATACACATTTGGCAGATATAGAACATCATGTAGTTTGCTCGATGTCAAATTTGAAAAATAAGTCCATATATCCAGTCTGGAAAACGCGATATCGCCCAAAACGAGGCTTAATAAATGGTTTATGATCAATTATCAAAATGATTTCAGGGAACATAGATGATGACGATGCTAAAAAATATGACCAGGCTATTGAACAATTACAGAAAAATCAGAATCAAGTAATTAAGACAGTTAATACGCAGATTTCCTCGACCCACGAGGCTCTCAAAAATAACAATAAGACCTTCAGCCTTATGGTTCACAATCAAGCTGTAATAGAACAAACTTTGGTAGAGATGCAAGGAACAATACATACTATTTTACTATTTTGGATACACTATTACAAATAAAGTTCAATTTAGATACACTGCTCTCTATAACTAGTAATTTGCATTTGCATTTGCCAAAATTGGGTCAATTGGGCACCACAGTATTATATCGATAGATGAATTAGTCAATATTTCAAACATTAGTCAAAAATCATAATAAAGCTCAGTTGGTGTATTCAGACATCAAAGAAGCTTTACGACAATTTCAGTAGAAGCATATTTTTGAAAAAATCGATTAGTTTTTGCCTTACATGTTCCGCTTTTGCACGTAGACAAATTTAAGCATTATCATCTTTATTCCATTCCTACTATTAACCAAACTACCATTATTCACAAAAATTCCTATTTCACAATGAGTAGGGGAACGGAGGGTATTGCCGTACACATAACTATAAAATGTCCTTGTTTCTCAAGTATTCATCAAAAAAGATAATTATCGATTTGAATTTGCTAATAATTAAAGTCACAATTATACCAGATAGAGCACTCCAATTGAAAGCAGTCTTTGTACGGCATTAACCGAATCAAGCGGGTAACGCCGTACATGTAGTCGTCTAATTTCGTACACACATCCTCGTATATGCCATCCGTTTCATTAGTGTATTAGCGTAAAAAAGCTGAAAATCATAATTTAACAGAAATATATTTAACTCAAAATAAACGGTAATGAACTTCTAACATAAATCATAAACGTTTTCCTGTCTTTACATACAAAATCCACAAAAATAATTAACTGCAGAATCATATCTGGAACATAAAGCGTGCGACCAGCTACCACAGCTGACGCACCTGTACCACAATTCGTTATCCTTCCCGAAATCACCACAAATAACGCATAGTTCCTCGACACCTGTCTCACCTCCCTTTCCTTCAGAAAAATCATCATCTAACTCTTCTTCATCATCACATAGAACATGTAGATCTTCATCAGAAGTTGATGAACTCTCCTTTATCATTTGTTTTTTAAAACTTTTTTTATTTTTCCTCTTTTTAAGTTTTTTTGTCATAGTCTCAGAGTGTTCCTCTAGTTTCTTCTTTTTGGCGACTCGTTTTTCCTCAATTTTTTCTAAAACAGATTTCATAGGCGTCGAAGTAAGTAATTTTGATTGTTGTTTGGTCCGTTTACCTATACCTTTCCCTTTTAAAATGTGTTTCTTTTCAGGAGCTGGTGATATTTCACTAAAAGGTATTACGTGTTCAGGTGTTTTATTTTCCACAGGAGTCACAAAAAGTTGTCGTTTGGCATGCTCAATTTCTGTCTGAGTTGCAGATTTTGACGGAAGTGAATTATGAGCTATCTCTGGTTCTGGATTTTCAAAAAGTAATGAATTTTGAATTCCTGATGTTGAAGGGCGTGAGTCATCAGCGGATTCATTTGGTTTTGTATTTGTAGGTACTAAATATGACCTCTCATTAAAATCCATCGGAATGTCTAGTAAAGCAGATGATGCTTCCACATTTTCAGACTCCATCCTTATATCTACAATAGCCTGTTCTGCGGAAATCCTGTCAGAAGCGTTATCATTTCCTTCTTGTATCAATTGACTGAAAACGTTTGGATTGAAGGGCCAAATGCCTGATGCTCGGAAACCACTAAGTGCTTTTTCTGCATTAGCTACATTCAAATACGCTTGAGTGAACAGTGGAATCAATTGCAGTGGCTTTAATTTCTCATATTGATGGAGTTTCATATAGACATCACATTCTTTATGTAAAGCTGTTTTCAAGGGACTGTAAACTGTAATATCCAGGGGTTGGGTCCTGTGCGACGTATGAGGCGGTATTGTCAACATAATAATGCCATTTTGGCGACAAAAATCGTAAATTCTCACAGAAATATGACTACTGTGATTATCTAGGATCAATAATACCGGGTCTTCCAATGAGGGTTTTGTATGTTCCGCAAAATGCACTAGCCATGCATAGAGCAATTCTTCAGTCATCCACCCTGACTTATTACATCTATAACTTGAACCGTTTGGACCTCCTTGCTCTAGTGACGGATGCATTCTCAACCGAGGATATATAATAAGTGGTGGAACATACTGGCCAGTTGCGCTAATGCAGCAACAAATAGTAATATTCTTCCCACGCTCCCAACTTGTGGCAGATCCTACTTGCTTAATCCCTTTAGGAGCAAGTATTTTACCTGGTTTGTGAACAGCGTTGATGCCTGTTTCATCAACATTAAATATTCTATGAGGACGAAATCTATATTTGTCGTATGTTGATGACAGATTATCAAAGAATATCTGTACCTCTGTGGCATTAAAGGCAAGAATTCTATTTACGCTGGTAGGTTCCGGGCGTCTGATGCTTATTTCAGAATTCCTTTTTAAAAACCCATATATCCAGTCTTTACCAGCTTCTTTTTTATCTTTATTGAAAGGATTTTTTATTTTGTTAGACTCCGCATATGTAAAAACTGCTGCTTTCAATGATTGTGGCGTCAATCCATAAAACATACTTGCCAGAAGTAATATTTGATCTCTAATTTCTGTCTCCTGTTCACGAGAGAAAACGGGTTTTCTTCCCATGCGAAATGAAAGATCATAGCTGTCCCTTTTTGAGTAATCAGATA